TCATCGACGTAGGTGCCTGTGGATCTGTAGGAGGCCATCTCTGCGTCCATGGCAGCTCTCCACTGAGAGGCCCAAGGCCCTGACACTGCCTCAGCGTAAGTGCGAGGAGTCGGAATGTCAAGGGCGTCAGGGTCACCCTCAGGGGCGAGGAGCATGGCACAGAGATGAGGGGAAGCGGCCGCCAGGAACTCTAGCTCAAACTGCCTGTCCTCTAGGGCGTCACAGCCAAGGGCAGACACACCCCCGACGGCTAGAGGACTGGGAGGAGGAGCAGTCACAAGCGTGGTGGCGTAGTCAAGGCGGCGGGTAGAGGCAAAGTCAATGACTGCGGCAGTAAGAGCGGACACAGAGGACACAGAGGCACGAGGGTGAGTAACAAGAGAGGCGAGAACACGAGAGAGAACAGGACGGTACGTGCGGTAGTAGTCAGTGACAGGAGTAGGGAGCGACACAGTGAGGGCCGACTCAGAAGGAGACGGAAGCACAGACTGAGACGGACGAGGTGGACTAGAACAAAGTAAGGCAGTACGAAGGTCAGTGAAGGGAACAGGAGACGAGGGACGAGCACGAGGGGAGCGACGAGTAGCCCAAGAACGAGACGGAGGAGAAGAGGACAAGGGCGGAGAACTGGGGAAAACAGCGGGGGAGGAGTCAGGAGGAGGAAACGTGGGACCGTAGACAGGAGGAGAGGCGGAGGAGGGAGGAGAAGGGGAGGGGAGACCAAGGGTCCGAAGACCCGAGACAGGAGGAGGAAGTGGCTGCTGCTGCTGCTGCTGCGACTGCTGCTGTTGCGGGTCCAGCTGCTGCTGCTGCTGCCGCTGCTCCTCCAGCCGCTGCTGCTGCTGCTGCTGCTGCTGCTGCTGCTGCTGCTGCAGCAGCCGCTGTAACTCCCTCTCCTCTCTCTCCAACGCCAGCTGCTCGTCACGGGCACGGCGAACACGAGCCTGGTGCCTAGTCGGGTAGGGGTGGGGGGGCGGAGTAGTGTCCGAAGCAGCGGCAGCTCCAGAGTCCACCCCCGAAGAACCAGGCACACCACCCCCAGAGGAAGCACTAACACCAGCTCCAGACCCAGGCTCACCAGAACCCGAAGGAGGCGCACCCTCAGTGTCCGCGCGGCCAGCACCAGCTCGCGGACGACAAGAGTCCTCTGCACCCACCGGGTCAACTCCAACTCCAGAACCAGAAACTCCAGCTCCAACCCCAGCGCCAACTCCAGCTCCCCTAGAACCAGAAACTCCAGTGCCAACTCCAACTCCAACTCCAGCACCCCCAGAACCAGAAACCGGTACAGGAACAGGCGCCGCACCAACCTCTCGAGAGCTAGCACCAGCGGCACGCTGCGAGGAGGACTGTGGGGAGGGAGGCTGTACCGGAGGGGCTACCGAAGGAGGAGGGGTAGCCTGGGACACACCTGACGGGGCTGGACCAGGGGGGGGAGGCTGTACCGGGGGAGCAGGAGGGGGAGCGGCAGTCAGGAAGAGGGGGGGAGGAGGAACCGGGAGACCTCGACTGGGGTACCTGACGTAGTACGGAGTGGACTCCTCGAAACGGACGTCACGGGAGTCAAAGAACCGGTGAGAGGGAGGGTGGTAAAAGGTGAAGTCAGAGGAGTCCTCAGGGAAACCAAGGAAGACACAGGGGACGGCACGAGGCGAGAGCTTGTCCGCGGAGGTGTCGCGGACAAGAGCCAAGCACCCCCAGACACGAAACCGCGACGCAACACCAGGGGACCCTGTCCAAAGACTGGTCGGTGAAACCTCTGGTCGAGAGACACGTGGCCAGAGGTTCAGCTGGTGCGCGGCGTACCTGACCGCGTAGGGCCACAGAAAATGGGGGGCACAGGCGTGAGTCAGGGAGGTGCGGGTCAGGGCGTAGGGTAGGGCAAGGGGCCAGGGCCTAGGGTAGGGCGATGGGCCAGGGCTTAGGGAGGGCGACGGGCCAGGGCGGAGGTCAGGGCGACGCGACGGGGGAAAGGGCGGGAGCGACACGACGGGGCAGGGCGACGCGACGGGACAGGGCGACGCGACGGGGCAGGGCGGCGCGACGGGGCAGGGCGACGGGACAGGGCAGGGCGACGCGACGGGGTAGGGCGACGCGACGGGACAGGGCGACGGGACGGGACAGGGCGACGCGACGGGGGGGGAACAGGCGGACACGACGCAACGGGGGGAACGGGCGCGACGCGACAGGGGGAACGGGCGCGACGCGACGGGGGGGAACGGGCGCGACGCGACGGGGGGGAAGGGCTCAGCGCGACGGGGGGGAAAGGGCGTGACGCGACGGGGGGAAAGGGCGCTAGGCTCGGTACTAGGCGCGGTAACCACGGAACTGGTACGAACGAGAGGTAGGATCAGGCTCGGGAGGTACGAACGGAGAACGGAGGAACGGGATCCCACAGGATCCTAACCTAGCTGATACCATGTCAGAATGAGGAATGAATGTTCCATTGATGTTGGTTGGGGTACATATAACAAACCCTAACTTCTGTACCCCCTAAGACAAACCTCACTACAGGCTACAACATTTGACACCCGCGCTCCGGGCCTACGTTTCGACATTTTCCCAACCTCGGTCCCAGGCCCGTCGCGCGACCACCACAGTCCATTACCGTTACCACTGTAGTTTCGCTATATATTCTTCGCTCATGCCTTCGCTCATTGTATTCTTGCTTCGATAGTGCAATTCTCGTTCGCTCACTCAATTGCACTCGTAACAGACATGCAAAAATTCCAGCGAACTCCTGTAACCCTTGTATTTTCGCCCTGCAATTGCACTGTAGTATGTTGAGCGTGTGAGTGAACTTACGCCTTTTACCTAACGCATGCAGATTTTGCTGGTGCAAGTATGCAAATGCATACAATAGACGGTTCAGGCAAAAATGTCGGCCTGCTGGCAAATTACGCGGTTACCCGTGTTGAGGGTTGAGGCTCCCCCAGTCGCATGCCATCCAGATGGGGTTTAGTTTTTTCTGACCGTCATCCACTTTCCCCTACGGCCGTCTATGGAATGCATCTGCATAATAGTGCTTGCATGATTTGAATGCAATTGCCCGTGAACTTACAGCTGCTTCGAGGGACACTCTCAATGTACAGTACGCATTCAGGTACTGTCATCTGAGCTGTACCTCTTGTAACTAAACTAAAAAAATTCTGGCCGTTTTAATATTCGTGACGCGTCCTTACTTCTTTAACCATGGCTCCTAAGGCTATAGCTGTTCTGACAGACGGGTCCTTGTGGATTCTGCCTCGTTCGTACACAGTTTATCTGTAACTAAAATATTTCTTTCCCGAGTGTACTATCCGGGCGAATCGACTAATCCCCGGGTCAGTATACGAGCTAAGGTAAGGTTTTCAGTTAGCCTTAGCAGAAGATTCCGCACCTAATTTCGGGCACATTTGCTTGCTGGGGAGGCGAATTCAGCCTAACTGTATGGGTCGTGACACGTTTCCAAATGCACTCACATCACTGGTGCACGTGTAAGTGGAGCAGTGTGCGATCGACAAGAACGTATCTTTTCATATTAATGCTGTACATTCACTTCCAAGACGACGGAATTTACATCTTGTCAAGGCCATCAGCACGAGACTTGAAGCCGATCTGGCCCCACCAGAGGCAGGCGAAGAGACCGAAGTGCCACAAGATCATCCACAACCTGAAATTGGGAACTGACAAATTAGTCGCCGCAAAATAGATAGATAAAGACGACAGGGGGGGGGTCAAAGATACGACGCGCTTACCAAATGGGGGAGTCAATGCTGGGGCCAGTGGGCCAGTGAGCCAGCTCGGGGCCAATGCTCTCAAAGAAGAGGCCGGTCAGGGACTTGCCGTTGATGGCGGGAATGCTGGAAGGCGCGAGCCACCCTACGAAGCCGAAGCCGATCACCGACAGGTCGGTGCGGAGCCAGTCACGCACGAAGCTGTCACAAGCAGGAAGGCACGAAGAGCAATCTGAACGTCAGAAATGATGGGAGGTGGAACGTTGTTAGGAATCAAACAACCGTTGCGGACCGATTCACATACCAGGTGACGCGAGCCTCGGCGCGAGGAGCCTGCACCACGGCGCGCTGCCCAACAAATGCTGCAACATGAGACGAACCGTCAGTAATGCTCCAGGTTCTCAATCAAGGAACATTTTGCAACTAATCGTAAAAACCTACCTGACTTGAGCTGGATGCGGGCGGTCTTGCGGGCAGCGAGGGTGGAGCCCGCCAGGCCAGCGGCGGGGGCAGCAAGGGAGCAAGCGGCGACGCAAGCCATGGTTACTGGTTGTGAAGGAGCAAAGTTTCAGTGCGGTGGCTGCAGTGCTAAACTCGAGTGGAGCATCTGAGCTAGTCTTTGTTGTTTGCAATGCAAGTCCTGAGTGCCTTGCAACAGCTTGAGTGGGAGCCTTGCCACGTGGAGGCGTGAATCGCAATGGATCGAAATGTGTTCATTCTATTGGCTTGTGACGTGGGTTTAGGATAAGGGCGATACCAAGCGAAGTCGTCGACTTCAGTCAGGTAACAAATTTGTCAGTAGTGGCGGCACCAGCCCAAGGGAAAAATAGCTTCTGATTACACTTACTAGACTTCTGCAATCCTAGATGACTGAAAGAATTATTTCTGTGCAATCATATATATTTTCAGTATTGGAAACAAACGTCTTGAACAGAATAGAACCACGATATGAAGTGTCAATATAGAAATATTACGGAATGGCGTTGGTGGTGTATGCACTTTCCCCCCCCAAATTCCATGAAACTTGTAGGAATTATGGGTGATTTTCCTGACAAATCTTACTAGCTGCAGACTACACTTTCTAGCGCTTTATCATTATCGACGATTCTGACGTGGCCCACACGCACATGTCAACACTGTCCACCATGTCCGCTGGCGTGGCGAGTCGGCCATTGCTGCAGTTCACCACTCATGTGGTCCCCATTCGGACTATGCCGCCCCTTGCGTAGCGAAGGCTGCGCACACATCAAATCCTCGCACGCACTGCCCCGCCACATCGCCTAAATGGCCCTCACCGGCCTTGCCGCTGCCGCTCGGGTCCTTCGTCGGAGCTCTTGGAGTCGCCATGCGCGTGCACGCTTTGCGCTTCCCCCGGGAGTAGTCCTCCCGAGGAGCAAGGGGCCTCCCGCCGCCACTCGTTGCGAGGGTGCCGAGAGTTGCGCTCAGACCGACGGATCCGTCGCATCACCTTTGCTTCTCCGCGCGCTCCATTCGCTGGTTGAGTCTACTCAGCCCTCCGCTCCTCATCCCTCCGGCTCCGCCCCTCGTGTCTCGCGTTCCTTCTCACCTATCGTGCCGTCGCAGCTCGCCGCGGAGCTGTGCACGAGCGCTGCCAGCAGCGTTCCCCTGCCCGTGCAGCACGGCGCGTCCACGATGCGCGCCGCCGTGATGCGCGAGGTGGGCGCGCCGCTGCGCGTGGAGCTGCTGCGCATCCCGCGGCCCCAGGCGGGCGAGGTGCTCATCAAGACACGCGGTGAGCCCCTCCGCACTGCGCCACACGCTCATGTTGGGGGAGGGGTTGAAAGGCAGCTGGAGGCGAGATGGCGTGATCCCGTTGCGCATTCCCCATTCACTGCCTCTTTCCCAACCCACTCTCTCACATTCTGCCCCCTATTGCATCTCGCTTTCCCCCACCTGGTCGCCCCTAGCGTGCGGAGTGTGCCACACGGACCTGCATGTGATGCGCGGCCACGTGGCGTTCCCCGCGCCCTGTGTGCTGGGCCACGAGGTCAGCGGGGAGGTCGTGGACCATGGCGCCAGCACTGATGCTGACACCATCGCCAGGTGCGCTGGGTGGCATGGCGTGCTGGTAGCAGGCCGCAGTGCAGTGAGCACGCACAGCTGCTGCCTGTGTGTGCCTTGCGGGCTTGCCTCACCCGCCTGCCATCAATGCTTGCCTCACCCGCCTGCCATCAATGCTTGCCTCACCCGCCTGCCATCAATGCTTGCCTCACCCGCCTGCCATCAATGCTTGCCTCACCCGCCTGCCATCAATGCTTGCCTCACCCGCCTGCCATCAATGCTTGCCTCACCCGCCTGCCATCAATGCTTGCCTCACCCGCCTGCCATCAATGCTTGCCTCACCCGCCTGCCATCAATGCTTGCCTCACCCGCCTGCCATCAATGCTTGCCTCACCCGCCTGCCATCAATGCTTGCCTCACCCGCCTGCCATCAATGCTTGCCTCACCCGCCTGCCATCAATGCTTGCCTCACCCGCCTGCCATCAATGCTTGCCTCACCCGCCTGCCATCAATGCTTGCCTCACCCGCCTGCCATCAATGCTTGCCTCACCCGCCTGCCATCAATGCTTGCCTCACCCGCCTGCCATCAATGCTTGCCTCACCCGCCTGCCATCAATGCTTGCCTCACCCGCCTGCCATCAATGCTTGCCTCACCCGCCTGCCATCAATGCTTGCCTCACCCGCCTGCCATCAATGCTTGCCTCACCCGCCTGCCATCAATGCTTGCCTCACCCGCCTGCCATCAATGCTTGCCTCACCCGCCTGCCATCAATGCTTGCCTCACCCGCCTGCCATCAATGCTTGCCTCACCCGCCTGCCATCAATGCTTGCCTCACCCGCCTGCCATCAATGCTTGCCTCACCCGCCTGCCATCAATGCTTGCCTCACCCGCCTGCCATCAATGCTTGCCTCACCCGCCTGCCATCAATGCTTGCCTCACCCGCCTGCCATCAATGCTTGCCTCACCCGCCTGCCATCAATGCTTGCCTCACCCGCCTGCCATCAATGCTTGCCTCACCCGCCTGCCATCAATGCTTGCCTCACCCGCCTGCCATCAATGCTTGCCTCACCCGCCTGCCATCAATGCTTGCCTCACCCGCCTGCCATCAATGCTTGCCTCACCCGCCTGCCATCAATGCTTGCCTCACCCGCCTGCCATCAATGCAGCCAGCGCCATTGCCGCTACTACCCTGGGGTGACGCCTGCTGTGCTCGGCCTTTACAGTGCCACCCACCTGCTGCCTCTTCTCATTCCTGTCCCCCCCTGCTGCCCCCTGCCTGTCGTGACCACGATGCATACGCGGGGGGAGCAGGGTGCCGGTGGGATCACGAGTGGTTGCGGCGTTCATCATGCCGTGCGGCTCCTGCTTCTTCTGCACCCATGTCAGTCACTCGCCCTCGCCACGCCACGCCACATCATTCCAGCTGCATGCATACACCCAACATATGCCACACTTCACCCTGCCCACACGGCCTTCTTTTCCACGCCTCTCATCCCGAGCGCGCATGGCAGGGGCAGGAGGACATATGTTCCACATTCTTTGCATTCAACCGCCTGCACGGCACGCTCTACGACGGCCACACGCGCCTCTTCTCCGCCGACCCCTCCGGTGAGCGCCTGCCTGCCTGCCAGCGATGCTCCACTTGCACCACGTTGAGGCTGAAGCAGGCCATGCTCATGGCCATGCTCATGGCCATGCTCATGGCCATGCAGCATTGTGCTCAGAGAAACACCGCCATGTGCGCACATTGTCACCCCTCTTCCATGCCATGCTGCAACACACCTGCTCACTCCCAACCAACCCACCCCACCCACCCAACCCCCCTCCCACCTCCTCCCCACAGCCCCCCTTACCCCCGTCGCACCCCCCCTTCTCCCCCCCCCCCCCCCCCCCCCAGCGGCCCCCCTGGCGATGTACAGCATGGGCGGGCTGGCGGACTACTGTGTGGCGCCTGCCACCGCCGTGGCGCCACTGCCCCCCGCGCTGCCGCTGCCCGAGGCCGCCGTCATGGGCTGCGCGCTCTTCACCGCCTTCGGAGCGTTGCGCCACGCGGGGGACGTGCGGGCCGGCGAGACCGTGGCGGTGGTGGGGGCGGGCGGCGTGGGCGGCAGCTGTGTGCAGGTGGCGCGCGCCATGGGGGCGGCGAGCATCGTAGCGGTGGACGTGGGGGAGGACAAGCTGCAGCGCTGCCGTGCCCTGGGCGCCACCCACACCGTCAACGCCGCCAAAGAGGACGTGGTGGACGCCATCAGGGTGGGTGCACCGTGGGGGTGCTGCACGGGTGGGGTGGGGTGTGTGGTACGGCGAGTGTGATCCCCCTCAGCCCCTGTGGTTCACTCACTTGTGGTCACCGTGCCCCATGTGTGCCCCATGTGTGCCCCATGTGTGCCCCGTGTGTGCCCCATGTGCGCCCCATCTCGGCCCATCCCCCCCACAGGCCATAACGGGGGGCAGGGGGGTGGACGTGGCGGTGGAGGCGTTGGGGCGGGCGGAGACTTTTGGGCAGACGGTGCATGCAGTGAGGGACGGGGGCAGGGCGGTGATGGTGGGCATTGCTGCTGCCGGCACCACCGCTGCCGTCGACATCACCCGACTCGTGCGCCGCAATGTCAGTGCATCTGCCCTGCTCATGCCCCTCCCACACATGGCTTTCAGTGCACCTACCTCATCTCTCTGCTGTTGCACCTCTGTCATCACTCTCAGATTCCTGCCTAGGGCACTCCCTTTCTCCTGGATGCATCCCTCCACACTCTCCCCTTCTCCGCAGATCAAGATCATAGGGTCGTACGGGGCCAAGGCGCGGTCGGACCTGCCAGCAGTGGTGGCGCTGGCAGCAGCGGGGAGGGTGGACGTGGTGTCCAGTGTCACGGAGCGCTACCGCCTCGACGATGCGGATAGTGCCTACTGCAAGCTGGAAAAGGGCAATGTGCTAGGCCGGGCTATTGTAGACATGACTCTCTGATGCATTGCACTCAGCATGCAGCCTAATCTGAACGTGTGTCCGGAGTTGCTTCCGATTGATGTGTATCTACCTGCTCAGCTCAAGGTGCTATGTTTTGAAGTGATAAAAAAGGGCTCTTGAGGAGAAAGCCATTCGCCTTGGAATACCATGCTTTTGCACTTTTCAGTAAAAAACATCACAAACTGGAAAACTGAGCTGATATGCTGCAAAAACGATGGGAGGCAACTGGCCTTCTTTACATCTGTGCGGGGCATGCAGCATGCTCGCACAGCGCCAGCACCACGTGCCCTTTGGGCTGTGGCGCCTGTGGCACTTCGCCCTCCACCGCCTCACAGCACTCATCAACATAATATGCACAACCACACAAAACACTGACCATCCACGTTGTCAAACGCACAAGCAAGTGAAAGAGATGCCACAGACACACGAGCAGATTCACCCACTCCCGCCTTGCAACCTCCACCCAGCACGAGTGACACGCAGCTTCCATCACCTCCCCATCGCCCCGGGCTCATGACTCGTCCCAGTGCTCTTCTCTCTGCCCTGCCTCGCACCAGAGGGCGCTGCAGGGCGTCAGAGCATCCCGGGCTCCACACGGGCCACAGGGGTCCTAAGGGGAGGGTGAACACGCGCATCCAGACACACCGCTGCTGCTGCTGCCGCTGCTACCGCTGCAGTGTGTCCATGTGTCGGGGTTGGTACCTGCACGGAGGCTCGTGGGAGCGCCTTCACCTACAAGGAGTGTGGCGTGCCGCCCGCCGACCTGCTGCCGTACAGCCCTCGCGAGCCACCCAAGCCAGCGGAGAGGCGCGGGCTGGTGCTGCTGCTGCTGCTGCGCGCCCAGCTGGGCAGCTGCCACCCCACGTGCAGGCGCTTCAACGTGTACTCGTCGTCGGGGCAGTGCGGGCGCGACACGCGGATGGACCTGAGCGCGGGGCGGCAGCAGCGCGTGAGGCGCACGATGTCGTCGCGCATCAGCTGCTTGCACCCCGCCACGCTCGCCTCCTTCACCGCGCGCGCCTCCGCCAGCGCCGCTGCGAGCCCCGCGGCGGTCAGCTTCAGGCAGGCGGGCAGGGAGAGGGAGGTGAGCGCGGGGCATGCGCGGACCAACACGAGCAGCCCTTCGTCGCTCACGCCGCACGACGGCAGCGCCACGGTCTCCAGCGCCGCGCACGTGACGCCGTCGAACGCGGTGGCCTTGACGTCCGCGCAAGCCTTCACGGAGAGCGCGCGCAGCCGCGCACACCCCGCCAGCAGCCGCTGGATGCCCTCGTCGCTGACGTGGCAGTTGCTGAGGTGTATCTCCGTGAGAGCGGGGCAGTTGGCGGCCACCGAGTGTAGCACGGCGTCCGTGACGAGCTCGCCGTTGAGCCGCAGCAGCTCCAGGTGCGGCAGCCCGCCTCTGAACGTGTGCACGCCCGCCGCGCCCACCGCCGTGCCCGTGAGCACCAACTCGCGCAGCTTCTTGCAGCCGGCGATGACGGGCGCGAGTCCCTCGTCGGCGACGGCGTCGCACGCGTGCATGTCCAGCACCTCCAGCGACGGGCACCCGCGCGCCAGCCCCGACACGGCGCCGCTGTCCACCTGGCGGCTGCCGCGCAGACTCAGCACGCGCAGCTTGCGGCAGCCCGCGGCGAGCGACGAGAAGGCCTCGCGCGAGAGCTGGTGCGTCTCCCCCGCGCCGTAGTCGAGGTACAGCTCCTCCAGCCGGCGGCTGTGACGGCCCAGTGCCGCCAGACCGTCATCGCTGACGTCCACGACGCCCAGATGCAGCAGGCGCAGCTGCGGACACCCCGCCGCCACCTGCGCGACGCCGGCGCCGGTGACGCGCTTGCAGTGCTTGACGTCGAGGTGCTCCAGCGCCTGCAGCCCCGCGCCGACGGCGGCGAGCGCGGCGTCCGTGATGTCCGTGAAAGAAAGGTCGAGCTCCTCCAGGCGCCGGCAGCTCTGCGCAATGTGCGCCACCACGGCGTCCGTGAGATGCGGAACCGAGCGCAGGCGCAGCTTGAGCAGGCGAGGCAGGTGCGAGCCCAGCGCCATGAGCGAGTGGTCGGGACCCTTGAAGGCAGGCAGGGAGAGAATGGAGAGGTTGGGACAGCCGCGAGCGAGAGCGACGAGTCCCGCGCCATCAGCGGCCTTGCAGGTCTCGGGCACGTGCAGCTCGAGCAGCCGCGGACACAGACGGCCGATGCTGGCCAGGGAGTCCTCGGAGCAATCGAAGAGGAAATTCAGGTTCAGCACCGCGAGCGACGGGAACCTCGCCAGGAGCTTCGGGAGTTTGGATGCCTGCGGAATTGAGAATGGCAATAGGAGTCAGCGTACAGACACGTGCATAGCGGGAGGAAGAGGCGACGACAATGCGGGAGGCAAGAATTACCTTGAGGCCACTCAAAGAGAGGGTCGAGCAAGCCAGGCCGGAGGATGTCAGCCATTGCTGGCTAACGAGCGACGCTGCTCTCAAATGTGCTCTCCTTCCCGTATCTTGCTTCTCCAAATTCTGTAACGCGCAAACAGGAACGACGTTAGAAGGTTGCAATTAGAAACGCCGGCAACTGATAGAACTACCTAGAACGAGATGCATACCTTCAAAATTTCGACGAGAAGCTCGCCAGGCAAGTCGTCAAGGCGACATGAACTGGACGGAGGTGACGCCACTGATGGCGAGGAAAAGTCGTCGACCTCAAAAATCATGATGATTAGAAGGAGAAGAAAAGCTGGTGGAGCGAAGCGTCGACCAGAAGGTCACTAGATTCTACAGGAAAAAAGGGCCAACCCGTAAATCCTTCACACACTCATCTTGTCAGGCTGGCTTTAGGAGACAAATTAGGAGAAAGTAATCTCAGGGAACGTTGGAGGCAGAATGTACAAATGTGGTGGCTGAGAGGGCGAGCGACCAAATACGCGTGGAGGGGACCGACAAATGCTGCAGCTGCGCTCTGCTGCGCTGGCCCGCCGGTCAGGGGGGGACGAACAGCACAAACCAGCTCCCCCAGTGGTTTGGGGGGACTACGTGTACGCTTTCCGTGTGCAGTCAGGTTCGGTGCCGGTTCGGGCAAAGCAGATGGGGGCAGCCTGGCGAAATCCAACGATCACGTGCGACGAGTTGCCTCTTATGGTAGGATTCAAACTCACGTGGTAACCTCCCTGCTGGTTGGCTGAAATATCAGCATTCTCCCGAACCTTCTTGCCACGAAGGCAGGTGAGTCCAGATTCGGCCCCTTCTCTTCGCGGGCAGACAGTAAGCAACGAAATATTCAGTTGCCTTATCCCGTTTCCAAGTGCGATGGGCAATCCAGCGTGGATGATGTTACTGACATGTCATGAAGTGCCTTGTCTCGTGTCATCCTAATGTGTTGCTAGTTTTCTATTGGCTGAAATACGAGACACTTTTTCTAGAGTACGAAGATTGTGGGCGCATCACCTGAAAGGACTGCTCGATTTGTTCATGAACTAACATTCCCCTGACCGAGCAAATCTCAAGAGACTATACTCAATGTCTGCTGTTTCATAGGAGTCATAGACCTGCTTATACTCCAAGCCACCTACAGTTCTCCTCTGATACATGTAACGCATCTGCGTGTACGAATGCTTACAGTGCATCCACATCTTTATGTGTCGCGACCGACAATGATCTAGTTCTCAGCAGTTCTTACCCGTATGCATCGTGCTGTTAGGAGCTTTCGCAGTGGCGATGCTCCGATCGGCGGTCATTACGCGCTCCCAGCAGATCAAGCAAGCTGTCGGGCGCCAGTTTGCGTCCGCCGCGGCAGCAGCTGCTGAAAGCGCGGGGAAGAGCAAGGTGAAGGCGAAGTCGACGGGAGGAAGCAGCGGCGGGAAGAAGAAAGCTTTGGAAGACCAAGGGAAGGCGGCCTCCATTGTGGAGGCGGCGCTTCGTCATGCTCAAGTACAGCTGGTAAGATCTGTAATGACGTCATCACCGTGCGGCTGTATGAAATGGGCGAGGGAACTATGAAAGTTGCCTTTGTTGGTTGTTGAAGCGCTGTTGTCCTTTGAGTACTGACGCATCCTTCGTCCGATGCTCAAAGGTTCATGTTTTTCGTGTATTGCTGTAACCGCTGCTTCACGGGCTTGAACGATTCAATCATGCAGAGATTCATGATGCTGCCCCCTTTCCACCCATTCGACCCCTCCCCCACTTCTCCTGCCCTTCACATACCGGCTCTCCACAACGCCACCCTTTTCTTTTCCACCCAGCCAAATCTGGATGAGGCGACTCAGGGGGAGGAGAGGCGAATGGCGAAGGAGTACTCGAGGTTGATGATGCAGAAGCACCACCAGCAGAGAGGGGCCGAGTCAGCCAGGCTCAAGCTCAAGCTGGCCGCCATCCAAGCCCTACCTGCTGGCAAGCTTAGGGATGCCGCCATGCTTCCAGATTTCACTCCCTTCCCGTCCAATCGGATTGCACCATCTCTGACACCTCCAATCAAGGAGCTGCAAGAGGAAAGAGCAAGGACTAGCGACCAACAGGTTGTAAGAAAAATCCGGTAGTACCATTTGCTCCTATCCCTATGAAACTGCTCTAGTTCCTCAGTAACCTGTGCCAAATGGTGTCACGAGGGTTCTGGGTACAGCTAGATCGACTGAAACATGGATAAAAGACTGCACAGCATAGTATAATTACCGGTACATTAGTGAACTCCCCACCGCTAAGTGATAGGGCTGCATCTGCATGTAAGGTGGCTAGCCCTCGACACAATGTTTTTCCATTTCATCTCCGCAGCATTTTTACAATACTTGGTGGCTTGAAATTTCACTCCTTATATAATCAGCTTTAAGCTCCAAGCATGGAGTGTACCTTGGATGAAAAATAAGATGTTGGATAAAATGATGTTTTATAACCCAAACGTTATGAATTGATTGCGGTGTATGTTCAGATTCTAGGCGGTCCGCTGCTTCCCGCCACTCTGCAATTCGTGTCGTGAGGCATCTGAACTGGAGTCGCGTCGCAAATTCGCGTGGCTTCTGACTCACCCAGCCCTGCTCTGCGAGACCCGTCTCTGCACCACCGCGCACCCATCCGCGCACGACCCACTCACTCACTCCCACAACTGCTCTTCTGTGGGTCGCCGTGCCAGCCATGAATGTAGGTAAAGCAGGATCAAGTGATGGGCCGAAGGAGTGAGACGAGCTGGTGGCCATCACACACTAACAGGGCGATGTACTTGTCAATTCACTAATGTTGACTTAGTCCCACTATTGTTCTAGGGTTTTCTACTCGTGGCAGGTGTAGGCGACACACATGCTCTCAATGCTTTGAGTAATTCTCCCCAAGCTTGGTAATAGCCCCCTCGATGCTAGCGACGCCTGATTCGTACCCCTTTCGCCGGCAGCCATGCCGCCGTTCAAGTCCCGCATAGCGCTCTTCACAGGTGCGATTTGACCTTTGTGTTCCGCCTCTACCTTGACCTTTCCTCTCGTCACCCTGCGTTGATATAGTTCGCTCTGACGAGTAGATCTCCACTTTTCTCCCATCGCCTTTCGAGAGGCCATGTCCCTTGGCCCCCTCGCCGTCCTGTCCGTCGTTCATCGTTGCTACCGCATCTCCATCCGCGTCGCCCGTCAGCACATTCGCCTAGTCCGTCGACATACCTCCTCACCCCCTCTACCTCGCCACCCCAGCTGTAGGTAGCCCTCAGACGCGCTCACGCCGCCTCGACTCACTTCCCCCGTGCTCCCCTTGCAGCGCTCCTCCTTGTTACGTCAACGAGTTGGCCGTGCCGCGCCGATGGATGGGAATTGGACCACGCAGCGTCGCACCCGGCTGAGCGACCGTTCACGTGCGTGCACGACTCGCACGTGGCGGCGCGCAGCAGAGAGCACACGCGCCGGCAACTGGCGTCGTACCGCACAGGGTGGGTGGGGTGAGACGTGGGCAGGCGCCGGTAGTGTGGGAGTTAGAGGGGGTGAAGGAGCAGGTGGAAGAGATGGGAAGAGGGATGAGAGAGCACGGGCGACGAATGGCGTCGAGGGCAGCCCCTCGTCTTTTTGTGCTCACGTCCCTTCCTCTCCACACCTCTCAGGTTCGGCGTGGGGGAGTGGGCTCGTCAACGCCCCTCCCCGCCCTTGCGGCAGCTGCTTTGGACCGCCTCTCCCGCCGCCACTGTCTCCGCCGCCTCCGCTTCCCCCCCTCGACCGCTCCGCTTCCACACGGTGCGCCCACTGCCCCAAACTCACCCCAATTCCTTCTTTCCCGCCCGCTCATGGTTACAGGCCCACCCAATGCCCCAGCCGATAGCATGCATTGCGCCTAATTCCCGCCCACCCCCGTTGCGTTGACCGCGTTGACCGCGTTGACCGCGTTGAGCAGGTGTCGTCGGTGGAGCAGGACCTACCCGACGACCCCCTGCGGGCGAAATACATCCAAGGCACGCTCGTGCCCGACGCGCTCAGGTACGCACGCTCGTGCCCGACGCGCTCAGGTACGCACGCTCGTGCCGGACGTGCTCTGGTAGCCGCGCCCTCCCGTCGCTCGCCTTCGCCCAGCCCCTCTTCCCGCCTCCCTCACTCCCACCCGCAACCCCTCACCCTACTCCCCTCTTCCGCACGCTCCGCGTTCTTCCCCCTCGCCACGCACATTCTATCCCCCGCACCCCCTTCCCCCAGTTACCTGAGTCGGCTGCTCTCCGTGCGCGTGCTGCCGCCCGACCCGCTGCTGCTGCCCGTGACGTGCGCCGCGTTCACCGCGCTCTCCAACGGCACCTCCGCCTGCACGCAGCTCGCGCCCATGTGCGACGTGAGTGCCGCCCATGTGCGACGTGAGTGCCGCCCATGTGCGACGTGAGTGTCGCCCATGTCAAAAACAGCATTAATATAGCAAGGGGCCGAGATGTGGGCGGCGGGGATGAGGGAGCGATGGGGAGAGGGAGAGGGGGAAGCGGAGGAGTGCGAATGCCGCAACAGCATGCAGCTAGCACCCGCATTCACGCCATGTCCATGTGGCTGTTCCTCCGTTATGACGTGGCGTTCTGTGTTCCATCCGTGCAGGCCGAGGTGGACATCGACGTGGACCCATCCCTGCTGGCGGCGCATTCGCTCTGCCAATCAGAGGACCCCGCCACGTGTGGGGAGGTGGCAGCTGGGACAGGCACACCTGGTGCTGACATTATCCTGTTCCTCTCAGCCAAGGTGAGTCGTTCCGCCTACCAGCTCCCCCCTAGCTGTGCCTGCGGCCTGCCTCCTCCATCCCCTCCCCCCCCCGCGCCCTCCCGCTTCCTTCCGCAATCCCCCCCACAGCTCCCGTCATCCCCTCCTGCATTCACCCTCCCAATCAACGCACCCCCCGTCCCTCCCCGTGCCCTCCTTTTCCGCGGAGCAGCAAACGGCGACGTGCAGCAGCACCACGGCAGCGGCACACGCGTCGCACTGCGCGGTGGACCCCGCGTCGAACCGCCCGCTCGCCGCATCGCTGAACCTCTGCCCGCTGGCTTGGCGCGCCGTGGGGCAGCACTCGCCCTCGTACGACTCGCAGGTAGCGCCGGGTGGGGAAGAATGCGCTGGGTGCTCGGCGCGTGGGTGGCAGGGGGAACAGGCGCATTCATGTCACGCCGCCTGCCCGCACTTTTACCCCCCCTTTTCCTCCCCTCCACCCCTTCCTCCCTTTCCCTTTCCCCCTACGTCCTCACATCGCATCGTCCCCCTGATTTCCACTTTCCCCCGTTCCCCCTCCCTTTCTCTCCCCCTCTCCCCCCTAGGTGCACGTGGTGCTGCACCAGCTCACGCACGCACTCGCCTTCAGCTCCGCGCTCTTCCCGCTCTTCAAGGACGTAAGAGGTACGCCGCTCCCCACGCCCCGCCACTCCGCTGCTGCCCTCCGTCTGCCTTGTCCCCTCCCCTCGTCTCCTCCGCTCCACAATCACGCTTCCGCGCTCTTTGTTTCCTTCCCCTCTCTCTCCCTCCCTCCGCGCCCACCAGGCCAGCCGTACGCGCAGGTGGTGGCGACGGCGCGGCAGGCGGACGGCAGCAACGTGTCGAAGATCGTCACGCCCGCCGTGGTCGCCGCGGCGCAGCGCCACTTCGACTGCCCCGCGCTCGACGGCGCCGAGCTGCACTCCGCCCCGCCCTCCGTCTCCGCGCCCGCCTCCTCCCCCGCCTCCGCGCCTCCTGCGGAAGCGAACAGCACGGAGTGGGGGTCACTGGTGGCGTCAGCGCAGCCGGAGGAAGCGCTGACGGGGGGAGTGGCGCTGGACGGAGTTGGGGGGGGCGAGGGCGGGGAGGTGGTGAGCAGCCATTGGAGCGTGCTGCGCTTCGAGCACGAGTACATGGTGAGGTGGGAAGCAGGGAGAGAGAGCGAGAAGAGGGCAATGGCAGCGAGCAGCCAATGTAAGGCGCCTGTGCGCTCTACTCGGGTCCTCTCCCTCCCATCCCCTCACATGCCTTGCCGCCACTCATCACCCCTCTCCCTCCCATCCCCTCACATGCCTTGCCGCCACTCATCACCCCTCTCCCTCCCATCCCCTCACATGCCTTGCCGCCACTCATCACCCCTCTCCCTCCCATCCCCTCACATGCCTTGCCGCCACTCATCACCCCTCTCCCTCCCATCCCCTCACATGCCTTGCCGCCACTCATCACCCCTCTCCCTCCCATCCCCTCACATGCCTTGCCGCCACTCATCACCCCTCTCCCTCCCATCCCCTCACATGCCTTGCCGCCACTCATCACCCCTCTCCCTCCCATCCCCTCACATGCCTTGCCGCCACTCATCACCCCTCTCCCTCCCATCCCCTCACATGCCTTGCCGCCACTCATCACCCCTCTCCCTCCCATCCCCTCACATGCCTTGCCGCCACTCATCACCCCTCTCCCTCCCATCCCCTCACATGCCTTGCCGCCACTCATCACCCCTCTCCCTCCCATCCCCTCACATGCCTTGCCGCCACTCATCACCCCTCTCCCTCCCATCCCCTCACATGCCTTGCCGCCACTCATCACCCCTCTCCCTCCCATCCCCTCACATGCCTTGCCGCCACTCATCACCCCTCTCCCTCCCATCCCCTCACATGCCTTGCCGCCACTCATCACCCCTCTCCCTCCCATCCCCTCACATGCCTTGCCGCCACTCATCACCCCTCTCCCTCCCATCCCCTCACATGCCTTGCCGCCACTCATCACCCCTCTCCCTCCCATCCCCTCACATGCCTTGCCGCTACTCATCACCCCTCTCCCTCCCCTCCCGAACTCCCCATCCCCCCTCCAGACGCCCCTACTGGACGGGGTGCCGGTGGTATCAGAGCTGACGCTAGCGCTCTTCCAGGACAGCGGGTGGTACGCGGTGACGCCAGGCATGGCGGGCATGCTGCGCGCCGGCTACCACCGCGGCTGCTCTGCTGCCACCGCCGCCCTCTCCTGCCCGCCCTCCGCCTCCGCCTCCGCGTCCGCGTCCGCGTCCGCCACCACTCCCCCCGGCTTCTGCTCCGCGGCGGACCTCAACCGCTCCGCCACCTTCTCCGCGGGGGGGGACGTGCGCCGCGTGCCCATGGTGGGTTCACCGTGGGGTTGGGAGTGCCATGGGTCATTCCTGCAATCTCCCTCCTGGCTCCATGCTGTGCCATCCTGCCCACGCTCTCCTCCCTTCTCTCCCCCTTCTCATCTCACCTCCTCCCCTCCCAACCCCCACGCCCCACCCCCAGCCGCTGACATGCTCCTCCGACTTCCTCTCTGTCGCCACCTGTGACTCGGGCTGCGGCCCTTCCTCTTCTTCTTCCTCCTCCTCCCCCGCGACCTGCCTCTTTGGCACGTGCAAGCACAAGACCAGGTACGCCGCATTCACCTGCTCATGCTCGCCTCTGCTGCCCTCCTCCACCGCCCCCTTTCTCCCTTTCTCCCCTCTCGCCAATTCTCCTCCCGCCTTCCATCCCCCCTCACCGCACCTCACCTCCCCCCTCCCCCTCCCCATCTCTCCTCTCCCCTTCCCCATCTCCCCCCTCCTCCCAATGCAGTGTGGAGTCGCAGCGCTGCCAGGCGCCACGTGGAGCGGAGGAGAGCCGGTCAGCGGAGGTGCAGCAGCTGGGCATGGCGTACGGCCCGTCGTCGCGCTGCTTCCTGCACGGTCCGCAGTTCTTCGACTATGCCTTCGGTGCCGGTGCCACCCCGCCCCCCGGCGCCGGCTGCTACCCCATGCGCTGCGTCCCCTCCGCCTCCTCCTCCCGTGACTCCCGCTCCGCTGAATCCGCTGATGACCCCCCCACTGCTCCCGCCCTGGATCCCTCGGCTGGCGCCAACGGCAACGGCAGTGCTGCCCTTGCCCCCAAGGCGCAGGGCGGCAGCGCGCTCTCGCTGCCCGCCCCTTCCTCCACCCCCAAGCGCCAGCTGCGGGGCAAGGGCAAGGGGAAGGGCAAAAGGGGGGGGCGGGGGAAGAGGGGGGGCGGGATGGTGGTGGAGGTGCGTGTGGGAGCGCAGTGGTACGCGTGCCCCTCAGGGCGCATGGTGGCACTCGAGCAGGGCGGAGGGGACTTCCACGGGGGCTCCATCGGCCCCTGCCCTGACAACCGCCGCATGTGCCTCACTGCCTCCTGCCCCAACGACTGCTCGGGGAAAGGTGCGCAAGGAGCGGTGTTGGCGGGGGAAGCAGAGGGGGTGGGGGGACCAGGAAGAAAATAAGGAGAGTGAGCAGTGAGGCAGAGCAGCTGCGCTGCTAGCTGCCCTGGCCTCTGGTGTGTCGTGTGCCATTGTAACGAGATGACTTTCGAGTCGACTCAAAAGTCATCTGTTGTGCAGACAACCACCCTGCCCTTGCGTGCTCCTGTTCTTTCTGCAACTCCCCTGTGGTGCGTGTGAGCAGGTATATGCTACAACACCACGTGCCACTGCCTGCCCGGCTACGCTGCCGCTGACTGCAGCCAGGTGAGAACCTCCCAGTTGCTTCACCAGGCCAATGTCAGGTGCTTCCCCAGGTGCATGCCAGATGCTTTCGCAGGTGCTTCCTCGGGTGCTTCCTATACCGTTCTCATATGCCCTCTGCTCCCTCCTTATGTTCTGACAGCCCCTCGCTCTGCCCCATCTCCCCTTCTCCCCCCCGACAATCCCCCCTTCAGGTGGCGTGTTCACCGCTCGCCCTCACACCCGCCTCCACCTGCCGCGCGCCTGCCTCCTGCGACCACGCCTCGGGTCTCTGCCTCCTGCCCTCCGGCCGCCCCTCCCCCCTCCCCCTCGCCGCCGCGCCCCCCTACACTCCCCCCCCCGCCCCCCTCCCCGCCTGCTCCACCTATCTTCCCCCCGCCCGGCGCCCCGCCCGCCCCTGGAAGCACCGCTAACAGCAGCACCGGCAGCAACAGCAGCGGCAGCAGCAACGGCAGCATGGGGGGCGAGGCGCCGCAGCACGGGGTGCTGGTGCGCAGCGTGGTGGTGCTGGGGGGCGCCAACATCAGCGCCATCCGCGAGGGCGCGCGGCTGCAGGAGTTCCAGGCACAGTTCCAAGCGCAGATGAGCGCAGCGGCGCGCGCGACGGGGTACGAGGGGCAGGTGGAGGTGGCGATCGACGCCATCTATGCGGGCAGCATCCTCGTGCACTCCACTGTCAACTTCTTCCAAGCCACCAGCTTCAATATGCCCGGCGTGCTGCTGCACAACCTCATGTGCGGTGCTGCTCCCCTCCCGCCCTCTCAGTCCCCGCATCCACATGGGGTTGCTCGCTGTGCTGCCCCCCTCTCTCAGCCGTCAGCCTGTGCTGCTACCTCCTTTCACCCCTTCCTATTCCATCCCCTCCCGTCCCCATCCCATCCATCAACCACTATTGCTTCTCCCTCCCTTCCCGCACCAATTTCCCCTTCACCTCCCTCCACCCCCCTCCCCTCTTCCTCCCACCCTGCAGCACGTCCCCAGCGATGATATTCGCAGCATCATCCTACTTCCTGGCGCTGCCCTCCGGGCGCATCTCGTCGTTCAACTGCTCCATGGCCGCCGCGCCCGCCTCCAACAGCGCACCCCAGGGCGCCGAGGGGCCGCCCCTGGGCATCTCGTACGGCGCGTGGGCCGCCATGGCTACCGCCATCCTCGTGGCTGGCGTCGCCATCTGCACCGTGCTCAGCCGCCGCGGTGAGTAGAGGGGAAGACGTGGGGGGGAGGAATTGGGGAGGTGAGAAAGTAGGGAGGGGAGAAAGTAGGGAGACGTGCTGCTGTTTCTCTTGCTCAGCCGCTGCAGTGAGGGGAGGGGGGGAGGAGGGAGAAGGAGTGGGGAAAGGGAGGGGTGCTGCTGTTTCTGATGCTTAGGGATATGTGCTGGTGCTGACTCGTGTGTGCATGTGCGTGTCTCTGTGTGTGTGAATGGCAGCATCAAGAAGGCGACGCGAGGCGCTACTCTACGCACAGTAAGTGTCGCATCACCCTCACAGCCTTCCTCTTCCTGCCCGCGCTCACTGCTCAACCCGCTCCCTTCCACCCTCCTCCCCGCCTGCCTCTCATTCCCTCCTGCCTCTGTGTGTTCCCTTCCACATGCCCCAACCATCCCTCCCCCTGTGCGAGCAGCGGGTACGACGCAACAGGCGCGCCGTGGTACATGGAGGGGGAGGAGTACGAGGACGACATGGAGGCGGACCTCGACCTCGACCTCGACCCCCTTGAGGCATATGCGCAGGTACTCACCTCCTCCACCCCCCTCCTCTCCCGGCCCCCCCCAACCCTGTCCACGCCATGGCATGGCCTTCATGAGCACTTGCCGCCATGTGTGTTGGGTTTGCGCACCCCATGCCATTTCCACATGCCCCTTCCTCCCTCGCTCATCACCCCCTTTTCCTTTTCCCCCCACCTCCCCTTGTTCCTCCCCCACTCGCCCCACCAACAGCTGGTGGCGGAGGCACAGCAGCACCAGGGGGGCGACATGGGGGGAATGGGCGGCATGGGGGGCATGGGCGGGATGGGGGAGGAGGGCATGCAGGGGGGCATGGCGCAGCTGTCATCCCTGCCCTCATCGCTGCATGCAGCAGCCTTCATGGCTGCAGCAGCAGGGGGCGGCGCAGCACCCCCTCCAGGCCCATCCCCCCCCCTCCTGCCCGCCAGTGAGCGCCTCCCTGCGCCCTCGCGCCCACTCTTCGCCCTCCCGTCCTTCTCATCGCGCCGCCACCCCTCCGCCTTCAAGCCCTCGCGTGCCATCTCGGGCCCCATCCTCTTCCACGCGCCCACCACCAACAGCACCTTTGGCAGCGGTGCTGCCATTCCGCGCCCCCCCTCTGGCCCGCTGCTGCCCCCTTCCGCTGCCGCCAGGGAGGCCGCCAGGCTGGGGGACGGCGGTAAGGGGGATGACGACGCGGAGGGGCAGGATGGGTGTGAGGGGAAGGGCGCAGGGGGGGCGGTGGAGGAAGGGGAGGAGGCGTGGGCGAGGGCGGCGCTGAGGCGCCTGGTGCGGTCGGTGTCGGGGCCGCTGGCGGTCATCTGGGCGTCCGACCCGCGACCCCTCGCGCCCGCCACGCCCCACCACCCCCACCCCTACCACCCGCACCGCCTCTCCGGCCGCCTGCGCATGGGCGGCGCATCCGGGCGGCTGTCTGGGCGGCTGTCCGGGCGGCTGGTGGCAGGGCGGCCAGCGGGCGGGCCGAGGCGGTCGGGGGAGCTGAGGCGATCGGGGGAGCTGGCAGAGGGTGCGGGCGCACGGGCAGGGGGAAGGCGGTTCCCCTCAGGCGAGCTGGGCGTGGGGATGGGCGCAGGGGGAAGGCAGAGGGGGATGTCAGGGCCAATCGATGCCATGGGGCGGCCTGCAGGGGCAGAGTTCATGGGCGTGGGCACGGGCGTGGGCAGGCATGCTGGGGGGCTGGGTGGGGGCACATTGCCCCTGTCCCTCGCTGCAGGCAGCTACGCTGGCAGTTATGGAGGGAGCTACGGGGGGAGTCATGGGGGCAGTCACGGGGGCAGCAACGCAGGCAGCCAGCCCGGCACACAGCCACAGTCACCGTCCAACCGAGCGGGGGCAGGGCGGCGGGCAGGGGGTGAGCAGGAGGCGGAGGGCAGTGCGGCAGTGGGGTCGCTGAGTGGGATAGAGCCGTCGCTGCTGCACCAGATGCACCTGCACGGCATGCATCTCCCCCACCACCTCCCCATCCACGCGTCCGCCTCGCAGCCCTCCATGGCCGCCCATGGCCATCCCTCACCACAGCCGGGGGCACAGGGCGCAGCAGCGGCACGAGGGGAGGGCGGGGCGGCGCGCATGGTGCGGGTGGGCTCTGCGGATTCCGCTGCTGCTGCCGCTGCCGCCGCTGCAGGGGGGCCAGGGGGTCTAGCGCGGGCGAGCAGTGGGGGGCTGCCGGGCACGGGTGGCTCCACGCCCACGTTGAGGCGCGGCCTCTCTGTGTCTCCCTCCCACCGCGCTGCCCTCGTCGCCGCCCTCGCTGCTGCTGCAGGTCAGCCCACTGCCTCACCGTCAACGCTGGTGCTTATCTCCCCCAGCTGCAAAGCTGCACGCCTCTCCACCCTCACCGCACCTTGCCCGCGTACCCTCGCTCCAAGGCACTCACAGAGCCTCCCTCTCCGCGCCACCACCCCTTCCCCCCTCCCTCCCCCCTCCCACCAGACCCACAGTACCCTGTGGAGGACAGCGGTGCCGACTACGCCCCCACGCCCTCCATGCTGCGCTCCCGGGTCAGTGCCCCCCGCTGCCTGCCCCCTGCTGCCTGCTCCCTGCTGCCTGCTCCCTGCTCCCTGCTCCCTGCTGCCTGCTGTTGCCTGCTGTCTGTTGCCGCCCCCTGCATCGCTGCCCCCTTTCGTCCTATGCTCTGCTGATCTGCTGTGCTCGCTCACTCCCCATGTCACTCCTCGCTTCTTGCTCCATCGCTTATACCCTAACATCCTCGTGTCGCCACCTTCCCTGCTCTTTTTTTGGGTCGCCACAGAGCATCCGTGTGGGTCGCTCGGGCCACCTCACTGCCTCAGGTCAGCTCAACCCTTCCGGGCAGCTCAGGGCTTCCGGGCAGCTGCGAACGTCTGGGCAGCTGCGGCGGCTGGCGTCAGGGCAGCTGCAGGTGCCGGATCACCTGAACCTGAACAGCACCACCACTGCCTATCCCACGGGCAACACCAATGGTGGCACCAACGCCAGTGGCAGCGGCGCATGGTCGTACTCTGCCATGGGCCCGCCTGCCCATGCTGCCCCCTCTGGCTCCACCGACACCACCGCTGCTGCAGGGGCGGGGGGAGGCGAGCATCATGTGCGCATGTCCGGGCAGTTGGTGGGTGGGGGACAGGGGGCTGCCGAGGGCGGCAGTTCGGGCATCGCAGGGTCGGGCATAAGTTCGGGGATAGGTTCGGGGATTGCAGGGTCGGGCATGCTGTCGGCATCAGGGTCGGTGTGGGGGCAGATGCCGCACTTTGCTCAGCTGAACCGGTCGGGGCAGCTGAGAATACTCAAGCAGCTGGGCACTCATGGGGCAGGCACTCCTCCCATGGCCATGCATGGCCACGGGCAGGTGCAGGGGCAACACGGGCATCATGGGCAGGCAAGGCAATCGTCCCCCCGTGCTGCTTCCCCACAAGCCAGCGGTCTGCCAGGCCAGTCATACCAGCAGTCAATGCAGTCAAGCCAGTCAATGCAGCAGGCAAGGCGGGCGGTGTCCGGGGTTGTGCGCTTCTCCAACCCGCTGGCTGCCGCCCACCACACCGCCTCCTCCGGGCAGCTTAACGTGCCCCAGCGCGGCGCCAACCAATGGCTGCGCAGAGCCCGCTCCAATGTGGGGCTGTCCGGGCAGGTTGAAATGTCGGGCAGGGTGGCGCAATCAGCGCAGATGGTGAGAGTGCCCAGCAACGGGGAGTACTCTGCTGCCCAGGTCACCCCATCCGGGCAGCTGAGAAGAAATTCCCCTTCTTTCGCAACTTCGGGGCAGCTTCGGAACCCGTCAGGCCCGTTCGCCCAGTGGGGACGGGGGGGATCGGGGCGGCGGGAGGAGCTGGCAGAGGCAGCAGAGATGGCGGCAGAGCAGGCTGAGATGGCTGATTTCTACACCCGCATGCGCAATAAGGCCACTTCTGGGCCCATTTACTTTGGATGACATGCGCCAATGTTTGTACATCACGTTTAGCAAAATAGGTTTTAGCACACATGCATATTGGCTGTGTGTTTTAGTATAGGTAGATCCTTATTAACTGGGGGGTAACGTGTGGAATAATCATGTGTTGATACGTTACACATTCGAGGTTAGTAGCTGAGGTGGTGTAGCACATTGGGATCTGTAACATCTGATCATCATAATAGGCAAGACCTGAGCTAGTAGATCAGAAACAGTAGTACGGTAGCTTGTTAGTACTAGGACCTCAACATGACCTCAAACTAAGATCTAACCTGACTAGTGGTGCGCAGCAGATTAGTGGCGCCCATATCTAGCAGCTAAGTGAGAGCAAGTTCAGCAACACGATCTCCAGAAAGCATGTTCGTGGGTACGCCGCCCCAGTACTGTAGCACTATTTCACGCACACCAGTGACACTAATCGCAGCCACATTATTTACAGCCGAGTCACACTCAGCAGGGTGGGCTGTCTCACGCCCTGCTTCCACTAGTGAGGGCCTTAAGGCGGGCGGCAAACTGTGTGGAGAAGTGGGCGGCAGCGGCAGCGATGGGGTGGGAGGTGCCGTGCAGGGAGAGGGCATTGGAGGCGATGAGGTTGGTGTCGTGCAGCAGGGAGTCGAGTGAGCGGTACCAGCCTGATGCCATGCGCGCTTGTACCAGTGCCACACTCATTGGCACTGGGATGCTGGGGGTGGGGGAAGGGGGGATGTGGAGGTGATGGTGTGACAGGAGGTTGGAGCAATGGATGCAGTGAGGAACGGGAGGATCACATAGGGTGTGCAGGCGGGGGAGCAAGGCAGAGAAGGGAAGGGAAGGCAGACAGCTGCAAGCGAGCAGTGTGCAGGCAGCAGGGCAAACGACAACAAGACAGAGAGGGGAAGGTACGCACGAGGAGAGGGCAGCAGGAGAGGAGTCGGGCGAGTAGAGGAGGTGCAGGGAGCCGTGCACGTCCTCGTCCTGCTCCACCGCGCGCAGTGCCTCCCTGGCGGCGCTGAGCAGGTGAGCAGGCAACGCGGGGCGGGTGGGCCAGAGTGCGGGGTCGGGGTGGAGCAGCTCCCACGCGCTCTGCCTCTCCACACTGCGGTCGTGCGCGTAGTACACCCGTAGCCTGAGGAGACGAGGGAGGGGGAGTAGGGGGGGAATGGGGGGACAGCGGTGAGAATGGAGGGGTGTGAAGCAGAGGGCATGCAGAGGCAGTGGAGCGGGTTGGGAAAACGGGAGCAAGAGGGGCAGCAAGCGCTGAGGGGCAGCAGGCGCTGAGGGGCTGACCTGCGCCAAGGGCTGAGGGGCAGGGCGGGGTCGAAGGGGCCATCGGACTGGATGCGGCCGCGGAACAGCACTGCGCGTGGGTGCTCTGCCATTGCCCTGCCCCATGATGACTCCGGCAGGGGTGGTGGCTTGAGGCCTGGTGGCAGTGACTCCCGGCTCCAATACGCCTACGGGCAAGCATAGAGGCGCGTGCATGGGGAGGGACGGAGAGGGGAGGGGTGGTGAAAAGGGGGGAGGGGAGTGGAGCAAGTAGCAGCAATGGAAATAGCTGTGTGCGTGGTGCATGAACCACCTCCCAGCGCCCAGCAGACTACATACCAGGCAGACCACATACCAGGCAGACCACATACCAGGCAGTGCTGCTTGGGGCACCAGCCCTTGGCAAGGGCAGCATCATAGCGCCAGCGTTCCACCACATACTCCTCACCCTCCTCCTCCACCTCCACCCCCACCCGCTCCCCAAGCGCCGGGCTCTCACTCTCCACCACCAGCAGCACCGCTCTGCACCCCACTCGCCGCGCCTCCCCCGCCCCCCTGCCTCCCCCTCGCCGCCCCTGCCCTGCCCCCCCGCCACCGCTCTCCACCCAGTAGTACCCCACCTCCTCCACCACGCACGGCTCCGCCGGCCGCAGCTTCCTCCGAAGCTTCTCGTCCAGGCCCCGGCTGCGGCTGCGCCCAGCACTTTCCAGGAAGCTGAGGTGGCCCTGAAAGCAGTAGATGACGTCATCACCCACCTGGGGCAGGTACGGATCCCCTTCCCTCCACTCTGTCGCCCCCACCCACCCCGCACCCGCTCGCACCCGCCCCCCTGCCCTGCCACCCCCCTCGCTCCTCTCCCCATCGCGACCTCCTCTCGCCTCGGCCCCCACTGTCCCGGGAGAGGGTGCCAGGGCTGTGAGTCGGGGGGAAGCACGCGGGGTAGTGGCAGCGAGGTGGGGGCTCCTGGAGGAGACAGCCAGGGGGGAGCTGCGAGCACCAGAGGCCGTGGGCGTGGCAGCAGGCGAGGTGGGGAGGCGCGGGCGCAGACGCGGGCTCGCTGTGTTGTGTGGGGGAGGTGGGGTGGGAGCAGTGCGGCGAGAGGTTGGGGTGCGGTGCTGTGCGGTGCTCCGCCCGCCCCGCTGCTGCCGCCCTGCTGTCTGTGTGCGTGTGGCCCGCTTGCCCCGGCGGCGGCGAGTGCTCCTGGTTTGCTGCGAAGCTGCCCTCTTCCTCTTCCTCTTCCTCTGGCCGCCCATGTCCTCACTCCCCTCACTCGCTTCACTCCCCTCACTTGCGTCACTCTCATCACTCCCATCACTCTCATCACTCCTATCACTCTCACCACCCGCATCACTCCCCTCACTTTCATCACTCCCATCACCCTCACTTGACTCACCATATGACTCACTCTCCTCCTCCTCCCCCTCTTCCTCCTCGGCCGCTTCCGCCTCCTCTACACTCTTTGCCCCCTCCTCCTCCTCCTCCTCCTCCTCCTCCTCCTCCTCCTCCTCCTCCTCCTCCTCCTCCTCCTCCTCCTCCTCCTCCTCCTCCTCCTCCTCCTCCTCCTCCTCCTCCTCCTCCTCCTCATCATCATTGCTTGTATCATGCTCCGACTCCTCTGCCTCCTCACCCTCACCGCTGCATCCTTTCTTCTCTGCAATCTCCTTCTCTGTTGCCTTGGTCTCAATCCCATTCCCATTCTCCCCTGCACTCTCCCCATCCGCACCCTCCCTTGTCTCTCTCTTGCCATGCTCCAATCGCCTCCTCACCTTTCTCTTCCCGCCCATCCTCGCCCCTTGCTCTATTCTGAGCGCATCGTTCCCCTCACACCCCTCCTCCTTCACCCCACCCCCTATATCCGCCTCACCATTTGCCGCTCGCTCACCCCCATCCGCCCCCATCGCCCCACCATCTCCCACCCTCTCATACTCCCCACTCGCCCCACCATCCTCGCCCAGACCATCCCTCTCCTGCCCCTCCCCCCTCTCGACCCCCTGCTCTGCTTCCCCCTTCCCCCTTCCTCCCCCTCCACAAGCCTCGTCCCCATCAGCAGCACCACATCCGCTTCTCTCCCCTTCACTGTGCCCGCCACCACCATCCACGCCACCACTTGCGCCCCTCTCTCTCTGCTCGCCCCCCGCGTTCCCCTCCGCGTCCTCCCGGCCCTGCCCTTCCTCCATCGCGCACCGCTGCTCCGCAACACCCCTCTCTGCACTCCTCCCACCCTCTTCCCCAGCCAGCTCCCTAGCTTCAGCAGCATCGACAGCCCTGGCAGGAGCCGGGGCATCAGCAGGGGCACCAACTGCGCATGCGTGCTGCCCCTCACTGCTGCCCCATTCACTGCATAGCGCCTTCATGCCACCATCGCTCCCTGCTTGCCCGCCACCGCTCTCCCCCTCACACCCTGGCTCCCCATTCGCATTCCCTCCATCACACCCATTCCTCTCGCTAGTATTGCCTCCATCTCCCTCCTCCTTGACGCCCACCTCCCCTCCGCCATCCTCCCTACCACCCTCGTCTCTGCCAGCCTCCTCCCCACCGCCCTCGTCCGTGCCCCCCGCCCCAGCACCAAGCGGGCTGAGCAATTCGTCCCCAGGCAGCCCTGCGCCCTCATCCGCGCCCTCCTCCCCAAACAGCTCAACGAACAGCTCCTCCTTGCGCGCACTCATCTCCCCCCCCTGCACCCCCCACTCCCCTGCGTCCCCCGCACCCCCTGCGCCCTCAATGCCTCCCCTGCTCTCCGCCCCCAGAACACCCTGCAGCAACCAACCCCCTGCACCCTCTGCTGCTGCACAGCCCTCCATCGCACCACCATCCGCGCCAGCAGCATCAGCAGCAGTCTCGGCACAAGAAGCACTACCAGCGGCACCAGCAGCACAATCAGTGGCATTCGGCATCCCCTGCTCGTTCTCACTGTCCTCGTGCTCTTCCCGTTCCATCCCATCCCTCCCATCCTTCCCTCCACTCCCCTCTGCCTCAAAATCACGTCCCTCCTCTATCTTACTGCCCCCCTCACCCGCCGCCACACCAGCACCTGCCTCTCTCGCATCCCCCTCTGCGCCCTCGCCCTCCCCCTCTCTCCTCACATCCTCTCCTTTTCCTTCCTCCTCGCGAGTCGCTCCCTTCTCCTCGCCAACCTCTGTCTGGCACTCAACATGACTACCTGCTCCTTCACCTGTGCCTTCACCTGCCCCTCCATCTATCCCTTCATCCGCCCGTCCACCATCCTGCCGTCCTGCAGCGTGTTCGCCCTCACTGGCCCCGCTCTCTGCACCACCCATGTCTGCACCACCAGCCTCACACGCAGCAGCAGCCGGCGCTGCTGTGCGGGGAAGAAGCAGCGCGAGAGCACACACACCCGCCCCACCGCCGCCCCCAGCCTCCTGCACGCCCCCTCCTCCCAGACTGTCTGTGCGGCCTGTGCGCTGCACTGCTGTCCCCCGCGCGTTCCTCTTCCTCCTCGTGCCAGCCGGCACCATCACTGGCAGGCCCCCGTGCGCCGCTGCTGTAGCAGCGCCAGCGACCCCAGCAGCACCAGCGCCAGTTGAATTGTTAGCGGCAACAGCAGCGGTGTCAGGGCTGGTGGTAGGAGCAGCGCCGGCAGGCGCGGAGTCAGCAGCGGGTGCGGGCGCGCTTGGAGGGGCGCCAGGCATCGTCGTCATCTGCACAGCCCACACAGCGCCCACCCCACGCACGGCTGCACGTTCGTCAGTACCCAGCGACGCACTCTGCATGACCCAATTCGAAATGCGCCCTTTCTCACTCGCTGTTCGCTCTTTTTCCTCCTCACTCTCTTGCCCCTCCTCACTCTCTTGCCCCTCCTCACTCTCTTGCCCATCCTCACTCTCTTGCCCCTCCTCACTCTCTTCCTCCTCACTCTCATGTCTCTCAATTCTCTTCCTCGCCTCTCCTTTCTCTTCCCCCTTTCCCTTCCCCCGGGGTGTCCTAGCCCTCAACACGTGCCCTCCCTTCACCACGTCACCCCCCTCACCTCTCTCCCCTCCCCCTCTTTCCCCACCTGCATGCCCCTCTCCCTCACTCTCATCCCCGCCCATCCCCTCTGCATCTTCGTCCTCACTGCCCTCCCCATCCCCTCCCAGCCCCTCCCCGCTCGCCTCACCCAAAGCTCGCCTCCCCCTCTCCCCCACACCTCCCCATGACCTCCCTGACCCCACCCGCGCCCTGCCCCCTTCCCCACCTGATCCTGCAACTCGCGCCTTGCTGCCTCTTCCTCTGCCGCCCGCGCCCCTCCCTTGCCCCCCCCTTCCAGACGCACTCCCGGCTCCCCTCCCCCTGCCTCTACCTCTCCCTCTGCCCCTGCCCCTGCCCCTTCCCCCGCCCCTGCCTGCCACCACCCGCACTGACTGCCTTGCGCCCCCCCCTCCCCCCCGCACCTCCCCCCTTCCTGCAGGGAGCGCACTCGCCCCTGATGTGCGCCTGCGCGTCTTCCTCTTTCCCCAGTTTGGCTCTACTTTCCAATTCCCCTGATCTTCCTCCTCCCCATATTCTTCCTCTTCTTCCTCTTCCTCGTCTTCCTCCTCATCTTCCTCTTCCTCTTCCTCCACTTCTTCCTCTTCTTCTTCCTCTTCCTCGTCCTCCTCCTCGTCCTCCTCCTCATCCTCCCAAGCCTCCTCTGCACCACCTGTCGGGGCGGTGCGATCAAAGGCAGCATCACCTCGTGCTGCACCCACGCCCATCCCAGCAGGTCTCAGCTGGGCAGGTCTTATTTGGGCAGGTCTCATCTGTGCGGGCCTTGACTGGGTTGGTCTCAACTGGGCAGGTCGTATCTGAGCGGGTCTCAACTGAGCAGCTTGGCTCGCAGCATGCCGACTGTTGCTCCTCGTTCTCCTCCCTGGCGTGCTCTCCTCATCCACCTCTGCCACCACCTCTTCCTCTCCCTCCTCCTCTGATCCAATCTCCTCCATCACTTCCTCCTCCTCCTCCACCTCCTCCACCTCATCCCCCTCATCATCCTCCTCCAACTCCTCCTGCTCCTCATTTTCCTCCTTCGCCTTCCCTCCCTCTTGTGCCTGGGGAAGAGAGTGCTGCTGCAGGGCCTGTGCGGCCTGGGTGCGTTGGGCCTCCATGCGCTGTGCCACACACACAGCAACGCAAGCACACACCAGAAATGTTTTACAGGAAGTGAGTAGGTTTTCCACACCAATGCATAAACATACATTCTCGCCCTGTCCCACTCCACAAAACCATCCCATCCCCCTAAGCCCCATGCACCCTGCCCGCACCATTACCCTTGCCTTCTGCACCCTGACTTGTACCCATGCACACCTGCTTAATCTGCGACTTGGTCACTCCGCGCGGCGCTGCATAGGAGCTGCCCGCACTGCCACCCCCGCTGCCACCCCCAGCACCACACACAGCAGACGCGCCAGCACCACCGCCAGCACCAGCAGCATTGGTATCAGCAGCAGCAGCAGCAGCAGCATCAGCATGGGCAGCAGCAGCGGGCTGGTTTCGAAGGTTGATTTTGAGCTTGAGACCGCACCCGCCCACACGCGTGATGGCGCTCTGCCCGCCCCTCACTGCCCACGCGCCCTGCTGCCCCCTCCCATGCCCACTGCCTTCCCCCCCTCCATGCCCTCCCCCACCCTGGGACCCATGCGGCCACTGGTGGGCATAAGGCGCGGTGGCCAGGCTTCTAGAGGTGTGCCCCACTCGCTTGTACTGCTCCACGTCCTCCTCCTCCTCATACTCCTCCTCCTCCTCCCCTTCCTCCTCACCTTCCTCCTCTTCTTCCCCCTCTTCCTCCTCATCGTCCTCCTCTTCCTCATCCTCTTCCCACTCATCTTCCCCTTCTTCCCCTTCTCCCTCCTCCTCCTCCTCTTCATCCTCATCCTCGTCCTCGCCCGCAACAAATCTTCGCTTCCGGCCACCACTCTCATCCGCCCAAGGTTCTACATCCCACTCCTCTTCTTCCCCTTCCACCTCCTTCCCTGCACGCTTCACCCGCCCTCTCCCTCTGCCCCCCCCGCCTCCACCTCCCCTCGCCACCTTGCGTGCACTGCCCCTCACCCCCCTCCTAATCCTCATCCCCCGCCCCTGTACGTCCCGCTTCCCCTTCCCCCGTCCGCTCCCCTTGTCGCGCCCACTCCTTGTAATCATCCGCCTCTCTCGCCGCCCCCGCTGCTCCCCCACCACCTCAACCCCCTCCTCCTCGTCCTCCTCGCCCTCCCCTCCTCTCCCCCATCGCCGCCGCCTCTTCCCAAGAAGCCTCCGCGACCGCCTCGTCCCCTGCCCATCCTCCCCCTCTCCCTCTTCCTCTCCCTCACCCTGCCCCCCCTCTTCCTCCTCCGTCTCCGCTTCCTGCTCCTCCTCACTCCCTCCGCGCCTCTCCTCTCCTCCACTCACTTCATACTCTGAATCGTCCTCCCCTCTCTCCTCCTCGCCCCTCTCTTCCTCGCCCCCCATGGTCACTTCAAATCCCTCATACCGCCTCACAGGCAGCCTCTCCCTCAGCTCCCATCGCTGGCTTTCCCGCCGCCTCCCCTCCCCTCTCTCCCTTCTTCCATCGCCCCCGTTTGCACCAACCCCTTCTCCCCCACCCACCCTCCCCTCCTCCCCCTCCTCGCCCCCACTCACCACCTGCACCTCCCCATCCTCTTCCCTCCTCCCCCTTCCATCCTCCCTCCTCACGCCCTCCCTCCGCCCACCTCCCCCGCGCCCGCCACCGCCAGCAGCAGCAGGCAGGGGCAGGAGGGGCAGGGGGGCGGAGCCGGGGGCGCCGAGGGCCTCGTTGGGAACGGGCTGGAAGGCCAGGTCGTCGGCCTCTATGCGCCCCACCCGGAGCGGGAAGGAGGGCGGGTGGTAGGGGCGCGCGAGCAGGGCGAAGCGCAGCGCGTGGAAGCGCGCCTGGTAGGGGTCGGGGTACGGCTGCATGCCCGCATCGCATATCGGATCCATCCACGTGCGCTCCTCCGTTAGCACGTTCGTCTCCTGCAGGGGGGAGGAGGCGGCATGGGGGGGGCATTGGGTGGCGAGGGTGTGAGTAGGTGGGCTGGCGATGGGGGTGCAGGCGAAGAGGAACTGCAGTTTACGAAGAGCAGCAGCAAGCAAGAGCAGGAGTGCAGGGCAGAGCGGAAGAGCACAGGGAACAGAGTAGTGAGTGAAGGGACAGCGGGAGTGCAGGGGAGAGCGGAAGAGCAGGCAAGGGCGGGAGTGCAGCGGTGCAGGGGGGCATGGGAGCGCACCTCATCGAGGGCATTGTGGAATGAGTCGAGGGCGAAGCGACGGTAGTCGCCCAGGAAGAACTGATGTGATTGTGTAAATGGGGGGGTGCAGGAGAGGGGCATATGAGGGGCACATATGGGGTGCAAGGGAGCATGCGAGGCGGTTAAAGATACCACACTGAAGCAGTTGACGCACAGGGGCATGGTGAATGGCATGGGGCATGACATAGAGGCATCAGGGGTATGGCATGGGGGATGTGGTACCTGGTCCATGTGGATGCGCCCACCTGGTCCATGTGGATGTGCGCCCATTGGTCCTTGCCCCCCGTGGCAAACACATACACCTGCCCCACCTCGTCCGCCACGACCAGCCCCGTGCCGTCCCTGTGATCCGTGTATGCACATGGGCGCGGGGGAAAAGGGTTGTGCATGGGCATGCGGGTGGAAGGGACGCGCATGGGCATGCGGGAAAAAGGGTCACGCATGAGCATGGGAAAAAAGAGGGATCGACAAATATGGGTGCCTGGGAGGGAAGTGCAACGAATGAGTTGAAGAGGGGTGAAAGGAAGCGCGCACAAGATAATGGAGGCTGGATGAGGCGGACAGGCTGCTGGTGCAGGCAACGAGAATGAGAAGCGGGGAAGCAGGGGGCGCACACGAGGGGAGGCAGCAACGGGGGAAGGCAGCAACGGGGGAAGGCAGCAACGGGGGAAGGCGGGCGAACGGGCTTACGGAGAGAAGTGCCCGTCGACGAGTTGGAAATTGGTGACGTGGCGGATGGCGATTGGCTGTCCCTTCCAGATGTCCCACACGATAACCCGGCCATCGTACCCCGCGCTCATGGCAACGCGCGGGTCCGTGGGATGCACGTCCAGCACGAACGCCTGATGGGGGCGGGGGGAGGGAGGCGTGTAGCAGGTCATGGGAAAGAATTTGAGACGCTTCAAACTCGATGGGCGGGCCTACGGGATGGGCGGGCCTACGGGATGGGCGTTCAACAAGCACGTGTGAGGGGGCCGTGGGCATGGGGACAGAGGACGGCAGGAGGAGTTGTCGAGTGCATGCGAGGAAGGCAGAAATGGCGGTAGAGAGTGGGAGGGTCGGAGCCTGTTCAGTGCAACCACCCACCCGGACCTTAGTGTGCGCGTCTCACCCTCTCACCTGCTCGTGCCTGTGTGCGTGTGGCCCCTCACCTGCTCCTGGTGTGCAGTGAGGCAGTGTATGAGCTCGCCTGTGCTTGCCTGCCACACACAGATGCGCGCATCTGCCACCCACGTGGGGGGAGGAGGGACGGACCGACGCACAGGCAGAGATATGAGCAGAGGAAGAGGGTGAGGCTCTGGGGCTAAGAGAAGAGAGGCTGGGTGGAGTGATTGCGGAAAGATACAACAGGCGAGGCAGCAGCGCCTTGCCCACTGCTACACGCATATGCATCTATGCTGCAGCTATTCCTGCTCACAACAGTGACATGCCAGCTCCCAAGGCCGCACCGGTGAGGGCAGCCAGCACATATTGGCAGTCGAGCGACCAGATGATCATATTCGCCGCCGCCCCCGCGGCATCCCTCGCCCGCGCCCTCGCCCCTGCCCTCCCCCCGCCCCCTGCGCCCTGCCCTGCTGCAGCCCCCGTGGGCACAGGCAGGGGGCGCGGAGGGGCAGTGAGCTGCTGCGCCTTGTTCCAGTGCTGGTGCTTGCCCTGGGGGATGGGAACACAGGGGGGGGACGTACGGGGGAAGCGGATGAGAGAGGGGCAATGAGAGGTGATGAGGGGTGAAAAACGAACAAGGAATAGAAGGGATGGGGCTGATGGGTTGAAGGGCAGGCTAGCAAGCATGCACGCAGGGAAAGAGGACGGCAAGTGCCTCTCATGTGCGCTGTGAGATCACATGGATCCGTCGCCACCTTTCAAGCCACTCACATGCACGCGGCGCGCCCGCGGGCGCCATATGAAGGCCGAACCGTCCCGCGCACACGACACTATCGCCTCCACTCCCCCCCGGTTGGCCGTGCTGCCATGCCATGGGGTGGGGGGGTGGAGAGACGGGGAGGAACGGGGAGGGAGGGGAAGATGACGGTGAAAGAGAGAGGACAAATGGGTTTGGGGAGATGGGAAGCAGGTGGAGAGCGGTGTGAGAGATGGGTGAGAGTGGCAGGCGAGATGGGGAGTGGTAGTGAGAGGGCAAAGCGCAGATGGGGAGCGGTAGTGAGAGGGCATGGTGCAGCTAACAGGGCATGGTGCAGCTAACAGGGCATGGTGCAGCTAACAGGGCATGGTGCAGCTAACAGGGCATGGTGCAGCTAACAGGGCATGGTGCAGCTAACAGGGCATGGTGCAGCTAACAGGGCATGGTGCAGCTAACAGGGCATAGTGCAGCTAACAGGGCATGGTGCAGCTAACAGGGCATGGTGCAGCTAACAGGGCATGGTGCAGCTAACAGGGCATGCGGGGCTCACCTGAGGGAGATGAGTCGCCTCTCCTTGTCCTTCTCCTTTCGCTTTCCCCCCTCCTCACTTCCCTTCCCCTTCTCCCCCACACCCCTCCCCTCCTCGTCCCCACCAGACGTCACCTCCTGCTGCACCCCCGCACACCCACTGCAGCGCAAGGGGGGGAAGAGGGGGGAGGGGACGGGAGGCAGGGTGCATGGGGAGTGGAGAACGAGCAGAGAGGGGGGCAATGGAGGATTGTGTGGTGAAGAATGAAAGAGAGAGTTGTGGCAATCAGATTTAGAGGGGCCGGCAGGCAGGCAGCAGGCAGCAGGAGGGGCGAGGAGGTGAGAGCAGGAGAGGGGAGTGGGGGCAGCACCTGAACTGCACGAAGTTGACCGACCCCTGGTGCCCCAGCAGCTCCTGCACCTCGTGCTGCACCCCCACTCTCTCCCGCCCCCCCGCACCCACCCCCGCCGCCCACGGCCCCTGCTGCTGCTGCTGCTGCTGCTGCTGCTGCTGCTGCTGCTGCTCCTGCTGCTGTGGCTGCTGTTCTTGTTGCTGTTGCACCTGTTGTGGTTGCTCCTGCTGTTGTTGCTGCTGCTGCTGGGAGGGCTCCTTGGGTGCGAGGGCAGGGAGGCGCGCATCCCACACCTGAGCACAAGGCATACACGCACATGCACATGCACATGCACATGCACATGCACATGCACATGCACATGCACATGCACATGCACATGCACATGCACATGCACAGGCACATGCACATGCACATGCACATCCACAACAAAACATGTGATTTTGTGACACCGCATGGCAGTGAATATGATGACATGAAACGGCAACAACCGGGCGAATCAGCATCACATGCTCACCCGCGCGCGCCCATCACACTCACCCGCGCGCGCCCATCACACTCACCCGCGTGCGCCCATCCTCGCTGCCAGTGACAAAGAGAGAGCCGTCGGCGTTGAAGGCAGCGCACAGCACTTTGGGCGGCAGCATCTTGCCGCGCTCCTCAGGAGTCAGCTCGCTGCCCCCCTGCTGCATGCGGCTCAGAAATGTCCCTGGCGGGAACGGGCTCTTGGTTGCTGTTGGGCCATGGGCCAGGGGATGGGAGGGAGGGGAGGGGAGGGAGGGGAGAGAGGGGAGAGAGGGGAGAGAGGGGAGAGAGGGGAGAGAGGGGAGGGAGGGGAGAGAGGGGAGAGAGGGGAGAGAGGGGAGAGAGGGGAGGGGGGGGAGAGAAGGGAGAGAGGGGAGAGAGGGGAGAGAGGGGAGGGAGGGGAGAGAGGGGAGAGAGGGGAGAGAGGGGAGGGAGGGGAGAGAGGGGAGGAAGGAGAGGGAGGGGAGGGAGTGGAGGGAGGGGAGGGAGTGGAGGGAGGGGAGGGAGGGGAGGAGAAGGGAGGGGAGAGGAGGGGAAGGGAAGGGAGGGGAGGGGAGGGGAGGGGAGGGGAGGAGAAGGGAGGTGAAGGGAGGGGAGGGGAGAGAGGGTTGAGTCATGGAAGCGAGTGCAGAGGAGCAAGTGGGTGTGAGATGAAATGGGGTGGCATGAGGCAGTGGGGTGGCATGAGGCAGTGGGGTGGCATGAGGCAGTGGGGTGGCATGAGGCAGTGGGGTGGCATGAGGCAGTGGGGTGGCATGAGGCAGTGGGGTGGCATGAGGCAGTGGGGTGGCATGAGGCAGTGGGGTGGCATGAGGCAGTGGGGTGGCATGAGGCAGTGGGGTGGCATGAGGCAGTGGGGTGGCATGAGGCAGTGGGGTGGCATGAGGCAGTGGGGTGGCATGAGGCAGTGGGGTGGCATGAGGCAGTGGGGTGGCATGAGGCAGTGGGGTGGCATGAGGCAGTGGGGTGGCATGAGGCAGTGGGGTGGCATGAGGCAGTGGGGTGGCATGAGGCAGTGGGGTGGCATGAGGCAGTGGGGTGGCATGAGGCAGTGGGGTGGCATGAGGCAGTGGGGTGGCATGAGGCAGTGGGGTGGCATGAGGCAGTGGGGTGGCATGAGGCAGTGGGGTGGCATGAGGCAGTGGGGTGGCATGAGGCAGTGGGGTGGCATGAGGCAGTGGGGTGGCATGAGGCAGTGGGGTGGCATGAGGCAGTGGGGTGGCATGAGGCAGTGGGGTGGCATGAGGCAGTGGGGTGGCATGAGGCAGTGGGGTGGCATGAGGCAGTGGGGTGGCATGAGGCAGTGGGGTGGCATGAGGCAGTGGGGTGGCATGAGGCAGTGGGGTGGCATGAGGCAGTGGGGTGGCATGAGGCAGTGGGGTGGCATGAGGCAGTGGGGTGGCATGAGGCAGTGGGGTGGCATGAGGCAGTGGGGTGGCATGAGGCAGTGGGGTGGCATGAGGCAGTGGGGTGGCATGAGGCAGTGGGGTGGGACTGGCCGTAGACTTGTGAGAGGGAAACACACAGCAGTAAGAGCAGGGGGGAGCAGGAGTTCAGGGTTTAGGAGCAGAGGGTGGGAGCAGAGGGCGGGAGAAGATGGCGAAATCCTGGTGGGAGGAAAGGGGAGGGGAGGCGAGGGGAGGGAGAGGAGGGGAGGGTAGGGGAGGAGACGGGGATTCGGGGAACGGGAATTCGGGGTAGGGGAGGAAAAAGAGGGTTGAGTTATGGAAGCGAGTGCAGAGGAGCAAGAGGGCATGAGATGGAACAAGGTGGCATGAGATGGAACAAGTGGCATGAGATGGAACAAGGTGGCATGAGATGGAACAAGGTGGCATGAGATGGAACAAGGTGGCATGAGATGGAACAAGTGGCATGAGGCAGTGGGGACCGGCCGTGGACTTGCGAGATGGAAACGTCAAGCAGTGAGAGCAGAGGGTGCCAGCAGAGAGCAGGAGTAGAGTGAAGGAGCAGAGGTGGGAGCAGAGGTGGGAGCAGAGGTGGGGAGCAGAGGTGGGGAGCAGAGGTGGAAGTACCGTGGGAGGCGGGCAGGAAGAGGCGCAGGCAGGTGCTGTCCGCTGCTGCTGTGACGTCCCACAGGCGGCATGAGCCATCCTCCGATGCCCTGATGGGCGCCGTGGGCATTGATGGGGAGGATGTGCGGCGGTTAGTGAGAGTGTGAAGGTCGAACAACACACAAGAGGAGGTGAGAGTGTGAAGGTCGAACAACACACAAGAGGAGGTGAGAGTGTGAAGGTCGAACAACACACAAGAGGAGGTGAGAGTGTGAGGGTCGAACAACACACAAGAGGAGGTGAGAGTGTGAAGGTTGAACACACAAGAGGAGGTGAGAGGAAGGGGGGGTGGTGGAGAGGACAGGGCGGGGGGGGTAGGAGCGAGAGAGAGAGATCACACAAGAGCACATGTGATGCTGAGAGAAACAAGGTATGGACGGATGGGAGATGGAGGTGTGGACGGGTGCATAGGAGAGGGGCAGGAATTGTGGCTGGCAGGACGTTGAGAGGGGTGGCGTACGAGAGGAGGTGGTGGTGAGTGGTGGGGCTGAATGCGACAGCGGTGACGGCGTCTGCATGGCCCACTAGCGTCACCTCCAGATGCCCACTCGGTAGCTCCCACTGCCACACGCACGGGGGGAGGTGGGACAAGGAAAGTGGGTGGGAGGTCGATGAGGCGAGGAGAGGAGGGATGGGAAAGACAGCAGCGAGTGTGCGGGGGAGGATGAGGTGAGGGGGAAGGCGGTTTGGGACAGAACAACAGTGGATGTGTGGGAGGTGGTAGCAACCAGGACAAGGAATGGCGATAGGGCAGGGACAGGGAGAGTGGTGCGGGGGGGGAGGGCGGGCGGCACTGACCACGCGGATGAGGCAGTCGTTGGAGGCTGATGCCACCCATTTGTCGCCCCGACTGACTGCTAGATCCGTGATGTCGCCCTGTATGTACGTACACACACGCACACAAGCACAGAGGTGCAGACGCAGGCCACGTCGATCCAGGCAAAGATGACAAGTGCACACATGCAGAGGGCGAGGTGCACACATGCAGAGGGCGAGGTGCACACATGCAGAGGGCGAGGTGCACACATGCAGAGGGCGAGGTGCACACATGCAGAGGGCGAGGTGCACACATGCAGAGGGCGAGGTGCACACATGCAGAGGGCGAGGTGCACACATGCAGAGGGCGAGGTGCACACACAAGCAGAGGGCGAGGGGAAACGTTATGCGCGCATGGAGGGGGGGACTTACGGTGTGGCACAGAAGGGGGGGCGGGGACTTACGGTGTGGCACAGAAGGGGGGGCGGGGACTTACGGTGTGGCACAGAAGGGGGGGCGGGGACTTACGGTGTGGGCGCGGCAGGTGGCGAGGCAGATGCCATGGTGCATGCTCCAGATCTTCACCAGCCGGTCGTCCGACCCAGTTATCAGGTACCGCCCCCCGTGGTCGTACACCGCTGCTCGAGGAACGGAGACGGATACACAGCCACTTTTGACGGATAGACGTCTCAAAAGACGGATACACAGCCACTTTTGACGGATAGACGTCTCAAAAGACGGATACACAGCCACTTTTGACGGATAGACGTCTCAAAAGACGGATACACAGCCACTTTTGACGGATAGACGTCTCAAAAGACGGATACACAGCCACTTTTGACGGATAGACGTCTCAAAAGACGGATACACAGCCAGCGCGGGGAAGTGGAAAGAAGGAGGCGGGTGTTGAGAGGAATGGGTGGTGTGTGTGCGTGCAGTTAGGTCGGGAGCAACGAGTGCCAGCAGCGTGAGGCGCGAGTGTGCAAGCAGGGCAGTGAGAGCAAGCAGGCCAGGGGGGCAGTGAGCACAGTTAGGGCGAGAGAGGGGGGGGAGAGGGCAGTTACCGCAGTAGACGGCGTTGCGGTGGCCGCGCAGCACCTTGACCTGCTCCATGCGGCTCAGCAGCAGCGCGGGGGACGCCACTGCCAGCGACGCCGCCCTGCTCTCACCATAGGGGCGGGGGAGACGGAGGGAATAGGGGAATGATGGAGGGATGGGTGAGCGGGTGGTAAGATGACACAACGGGCGGACAGAGCGGGGCAAACGGTTGTCGCGGTGGGGTGAGAGGTGCAGTGGCAAGGCCCACGTGGAGGGTACCGTGCATGGAACGTACCGTGCATTGGCAGCCCTGGCAGCCCGCGAGCAGACCCCTCCGCCCGTTTCTCTGAGCGTGAGGGAGCGCAGGAGCGGTGCTGAGAGGTGCGGATGGGCCGTGTGGGGCAGAAAGGTGCGCGGAGGAGAGAGGAGCGCTGGCAGCCACTCCGCTGTTGTTGGGAGGCGGATAGGGGCGGGAAGGGTGATAAAGCAAGCAGGGGTGGAAGTGGAAGCGATGAAGGGAGCAGGGTGGGGCGGGGCGTGGGGAAAGCCAGAGAGGAAGTGCAGCAGTGAGGATGTGAGGGAGGGAGGGAGGGAGGGAGGGAGGGAGGGAGGGAGGGAGGGAGGGAGGGAGGGAGGGAGGGAGGGAGGGAGGGAGGGAGGGAGGGAGGGAGGGAGGGAGGGAGGGAGAGAAGGCATGCGTGGCTCATGTGAGGCAATGGCATGCACATGTGAGGCAATGGCATGCACATGTGAGGCAATGGCATGCACATGTGAGGCAATGGCATGCACATGTGAGGCAATGGCATGCACATGTGCCGATTGCCCCAAGCCTCAATCCGCGCCTACCTCGTCTCAGGCTTATCCCGCCATGGCCCAGCAGCGTTGGCACGTCTCCCGCACACACCCACCACCTGTCCCGTGCTCCTGCCACGCCCGCCCCCCCGCTCACCAACACACCCTCCCCGCCTGCACCCTTCTCGCCCCGCTCGCCCCTCTCTGCCCCTGCCGCTGCTCCCACCACGAGTGCTGTGCTGCGTGCCGCATCTGCTGCTGCCACCACTGCTGATGCTGCCCCTGCTGCTTCGCCACCTGCTGCTGCCTCCACGCCTGCTTCAATGGCCCCTGCTGCTGCTGCAGCAGCCTCTGTCCCGCTTCCCAGCATCTGTGCCACAGCCGCACCTACTGATCTCTCTTCTGCTGCCTCTGTGCCACCTACCTGCCGCCCTGTCTCCAAGCCACGGCCGGCGCTCACATCCATAGCTGCAGCGGCGGCTGGGGCTGCCGCACCTGGCAAAGCCTCCTCTAGTGCAGTGGCGGAGGCGGAGGCGGAGGCGGAGGCGGAAAGGGGGGCGGCGGTGATTCGAAGTGGGAGGGCAGAGGGAGGAGCAGAGACGGTGGGTGCAACAGCTGCTGCAGCAAGCGGGGCAGGAGGGAGGGCTGGTGCTGCTGACGGTGGCGGGTGGGGCGGAGAGGAGGAGAGAGGCGCGGAGGGGAGGAGGGAGGCGGAGGAGATGGCGAGATGGGACGACTGCAGCAGCTCCTGCAGCAGCAGGAAGAGGTGGTTGGGGGCAATGTGCGAATACCTGGAGGGAGCAGCACAGCGGGGCATGCACACACGGACAGCAGGTGGGAGGCACGGGGCAGGGTGAAATGAACGAGCGGAGGCATATGGTTGCCCATGAACACAATAAAACAAAGACTTGCTGATTGTGTGGTCACCCAATGCAAGGTGCCCAAGCATTACAGGCGCGCACCTCTCCCTGAGCTGCTCGTAGTTCATGGGTACAGTCATCTCCGACTCCCTCTCCGCACCCCCTCCCCTCCTCCCACCCTCCCCACCCTTCACTTGTGCGCCCACCACCCCTGCCTCCCCATGTGCACTCCCCTCGCTGCCGCGCTCGTTGCCTCTACCACCCGGCCGCCCTTCGCTCGCGCTGTTTGCGCCTGTCCGCCTTCCCCCATGGGAGTACACCGAATGGTACCGCTGCGGAAGCAGATTCAACTCCTCCAGCTCCTCTTTCAAAACTTCTGCTGCCCGACGGCAAGGGCTGCCCGTCAAAAAGTGCAGAATGAGGAAGTACACTTCCCTCATGTCCGCTTCAGCATCCCCTCCTGCTGCCGCCGCCAGCGCCATCATAGCGCCACGCGACGGTAGACTTGCTGCTCTCTGATTGGCTAACGACCCTGCCGCGTCGTTGGATGGCGGCTGTGCGCGCTTGCGCCCGCCAGCGACGGGAGGGCGGCGGGTGGACGCGGGAGGGCGCGGGTCTGCCCCAGAGGAGCGCGCGTTGGCGGAGGCGTTGGCAGCGCGCGCGGTGCCGCGTGGGACAGGCGGGGCGGGAGGAGCGGGGGGGAGGGGAGGTGTGGCAGAAGGAGGGATTACTGGGGAAGACTCGGTGGTGGGGAAGGTAGAAGCGGGGGGGGTAGTAAGGGCGGGGTTAGGAGCAGGGGAGGTAGGAGCAGTGGGAGTAGGAGCGGGGGCACTAGGAACGGTGCGAATGGGAGTAGGGAGATTAGGAGCAGCAAGAGTAGGAGCGGGGGCGAAGGGATTAGGGGTCGGGGAGGTAGGGGAGGCGAGAGTAGGAGCGGGGGGAGTAGGAGCGCTGGGGGTAGGAGCGGAGAGGGTAGGGGCGGAGGGGGTGGGAACGGGGGGAGGCGAGTGAGCTGGAACCGAGGCGAAGGCTGCGCTAGAAGCGGGGCTTGGGGAAGGAGCGGATGCGGGGAGAGTGGGTGCGGGGGGAGTGGGAGCAGGTGGGGAAGTGGGTGCGGGAGGGGAAGAGGTGAGAGATGAGGTGATGGCAGGCGCAGAGGAAGCGGCGGAAAGATTGGGGAGGCGAGAGTCGCGGAAGAGTGTCGCGTCAGCGTCGCACAGGGTTATGCGCGGGCCCGGTGCGCCCGCTGCACTCGCCGCGGGTATGACTGCTACCTCGGCAGTCGGGTTGGCGGAAGGCGCCCAGGCAGGTGGTTGGGAGAAGGAGCCAGGCGCGCGGACGGAAGGCGGGCGGAGGGCGGAAGCAGGGGGAGCAGCGCGGGCGGCAAGGGGAGAGGAGAGTGAGGCAGTAGCTGGACCTGACGGCATGGCGGCGAGGAGAGCACTGCACGAAGCAGCTGTGGCAGCTGTAGCAGCTGCAGCAGCTGTAGCAGGCATGCTACCACTTGGCGAACCGTGTGAGAAAACACCCGCATTGTTCCTCTCTGCCTCCTGCATAAGCAGACTAAGCACGCGCGTCTGCGATTCCGGATCAAAAGACGAAAGCGCGGAAACAGGCGCAGGATTTGGAGCATACGCAGCAGCCGACGCGGAAGCAGGAGGTGACGGTACCCCAATCATGCGAGACCCCACGCCGTTCAACCTCTGCGGTGGAGCGGCGGGTGACGCGGCTGCAGGGCGGGAGTGGACGGCGGGCGCGGCGGCAACGGCGGAGGGACCGCCCACCGCGTTAGCCGTCGAGGAAGCAAGGTGGAATTGAGAACCCGCGGAAGGCGCGGAACGGGCGGAATGAGCGGAAGGAGTTGAAGGAATGGACGGAGCGGGCAAGCAGGCGGCGGCGGAGGCTTGTGAGAAGGGAGCGGTTGCGCCTGATTGGTTCACGTTCGCCTGGCTCTGCCGCGGCCGAATCGGATGGATTGCCGATGGACCTGACACTCCGACGACCTGACGGTTGAACGCAGTGTTCGGCGCCGAAAGACCCACTTGACCGTTAAAAGCAGCCTGCCCGTCAGGAGCACCGAATTGCCCGCCGTGAGCAGACGGCATGTGGTTTCCATTACGGGCAAGAGCGGCGGTGTTTCGAGGGCCAGAATTCACGGCGTTAGCAGCTGGAGCGTGCAGAGGCAACGAGGAGGGGTGCATAGGCGGCGTGCCCGCTGGCTGCGCGGCCGACAGCGGATATTGCGAGTTCTGAGGAAACGGCGGCCGCGGCGGATAGAACGATTGGTTTTGAAACGGCAAAGACGAGGACGAGAGTGGGGCGGACGTGGGGCGCGACGAACCCACGTTGGGATGAGAAAAACGCGCGTCAGGCGCCGGTTGCGAGCTATGCTGGAGTGACGCGTACGAGGCTTCGTTAGTGTAAGCTAGTGAGTTAGACGTTATGAAGTGAGCCATCTGAGAAGAAGAATACGGGTTACTGTTAAGGTATCCCGCCGATAGCGGCGGTGCTTGCTGGTTGAACTGAACGGTCTGTGGGTGCGACATTGCGGCGGGAAGGGAGGGACGAATGGCGGATGAGGAGACGAGTGAAGGCGAATCGGAACTAGAGGTGAGAGGAGGATGAGTAGTCGTGCTATGGTGATAGCTCGCATGTGTCAAGTCATTCACGGGCGGAATGGCATCCGAAGACCAATTATGATCCTCTTTTATGTCGCTAAAATTAGTAGGGTCCATTGCCTCGGACCTACCACCCTTACGCTCGAGACACAGACCTTCGCCTCACCGCAGATGCTGCTGCTCGGGAGCAGCGAGGGAAGCAAGCAGCAAGTGCGGAGCGGAGGGACACCAAACACCCATGACCATGGTGGTTTGATTTGGAAACTTGAATTTCAAACGAACACACTTCAAGGGACTAGCAAAGCAAACCAATCTTGCTTGCCTGCTGCTGCTAGCGACTAGGTGAAGCCCGTTCTCACCTGGTAATTTTCGCGACGGTCGCGGGGACGAAATGCTGGATGATGGGCATGAGCAGAGGTGGGCTTGAATTCCAAGCACGTGCTTGCGATATTTCGCGAAATGGTAACAGTTCGCAAGGCGCTGAGAACCAACTGACGTGCTCTGCCGCATCCAACCAAAGCCGTCAGCCCCAGCCAGACCCCAGCGCAGAACAACACTACCACCAGCCGACATAACACCAGGCATTGTGGGAACCCTAACTTTTCGCGCTGCGAACAAGGAACCTTAGGGCGAACAAGCCAGCCATGGCGGAGCCATTCACTCGCTCCGTGTCGCAGCTCGTCTGCGCTCAGATTTGCGAGTCTTTCGGCTTCCAGTCCATCCAACGGTCAGCGCTCGAGACCCTGTCCGACATCCTGACTCGCTTCATCACCAGCGTTGGCGACGCAGCACACGCGCACGCGGAGCTCGCAGGGCGAACCGACGCTAACGCCAACGACGTCGCCCTTGCGTTATCCGACGTCGGCACGTCGCTCGGCGATCTCGCTCGCTTCGTCGAATTCGCGGACGACATCTCGTCGCCATCGTTGGCGCAAGCCGTCCCGTCCTTCCCCGTGCCCAGAAACCCGCGCTTCGTCGCCGCCAGTTTCCTTCAGAGCGGGGAGGATCCTCCTCCCCGTGGCGACATTCCCGAGTGGCTGCCGGCGCTGCCGGACCCCCACACGTACATCGCCACGCCGGTGTGGGAGGCTCGGGGGCAGGATAAGCGGCAGGATCGGGTGGAGGAGGGGCGAGAGCGGCGGCGCGCTGAGCAGTCACTCGTGTCGCTGCACCAGCGCATGGGGATGGTCACGGCGGGCGGCGCGCAGGCGCGCGGTGGTGCTGGCGGCGGGCGGCTGCTGTGGGGCGGATGGTCTCACGTTGGCGCGGGGGACGACCTCCTCGCAAGGCCAGGCGCGGGGATCTCCGCGCCCGTGGCCACTGGTGCGGCGCCCGCAGTGCGCAACGACGAGGGCGCGGAGCGGGGCGAGGGGCGGAAGAAGCGGATGAGGGAGTCAGACGGCGGGTGGGTAGCGGGTCAGGTTCCTTCCGCGCTGGATGCCTTCCCGGGACTGATGATGGCCGCGGGCAGGGCGCGGGGCGGGGGAGCAGCAGGTGAGGGGGGTGAGGAAAGCGAGGAGGAGGATGAGTTAGAGGAAATAGAGGAAAGGAATGGGGACGCGATGGCTGTGGATGGTGATATTGTGGTGGTGGATGGCGGAGAGGAGAGGAATGGTGGTGGTGGCAGTGGGGCCGAGGGAATCCAGGCAGAGGGGAATAAGGGCGAGAGGGTGAAGGAGGTTGGTTGGAGTGGGTGGTCGGCAATGGAGAGGGCTTCAGGGGCGAGTGCTCCGGGGGTGTCGTTTCACCTAGGCAGCAAGATCAAGGCCAAGCTTGGAGCTGCCAGAATGCAGTTGCCTGTTGTGCTGAGGCAGGCAAAACCAAAGGCCGGGCAAGGTGGGAGTGATGGCATTGGGAAAGGCGAGGAGGACAAGGAGAGGAAGGGGAAGGAGAAGAGGGAAAAGGGGAAAGACGATGAGAGGGATGAGAAAAGAAAGAGGGCAGAACAGATACTGGAGCAAGCAGATAGGGAGGCAGCAGAGGCAGGCATGGGAGATTGCAGATAGGAGTTAAGATTGTCATATTTTGACAGTCTTTAATGAGGTTTGTTTGATGCGATTGTGGAAATAATGCATGTTGATATTTTTTTTCGAATTTGTAAGAGATGTTATCATTGCCTTGCTTTGTCACGATCCGTGTAGAGATGTAGCATTACCGTATCCGTCCCAAAGCCGCCTACCCGCGTTTTCTTCACGTCTTGTCACGTCTGTGCAAGAAGTGTATGGTGCCCGTTGTGTCAGCGGGAATGGTGATGTGACAGGGTGCTCGATCCAAAAAGTGCTGACGCTGGCGAGGGAAGCCCGTCGTTTCGAGGAAGGCTACGGAAGTGTTATGTGCTTTCGAGGAACACCGTATCGTCGAATAGCGACAGAGTTGCTGACGCCAATCCCCTGCTCTAGGGCTACGACATCGTCTCCCACATCTCCACTTTGTGAGGAAACGAGAGGCTTGCACGTCATGGCGTGTGATTGGTGCACACGAGTCACAACACAAGGCATCCTGCGTGCGGAAGCAGATTCTCTGCCATACGCAACCTCCCTTTTCCCCACCCCAACCCAAACCCCCTGTCATCAGCGAAAGAATGTGTTTTTCGTCCAATCATCGCTGGTCAGAGAGCCCTTTCGCGGAGACCGCGCAACCCCATTCTCCCTTTCGCAAATGACGCAAGCATGCCAATCAACGCACCGCACGACAGTTTCTTCTCTGCTTCCTCTCGACCCAACTCACCGTGCGCTCTGCAACCAGACACGTGGTAGGGCGGGATGGATGAGACGAGAGTGATCGGTGGTGTCCGTTTGGCGTCCGACGCCAGCGGTGCTCAAAAGCGATCTAGACAGCAGCCATAGCGTCACTCAATTGCACTCGCACTCTCACTGTCAGACCATCACATTTTCAAGCTCCAGCCAGATTAAATTTCTCGGTCGTCGCTTCCATAGTTAGATCGTTGCACTTTAAACGACGATCGCGCATCTTCGGAGGTATTGTCCCTAGGTCGCCATTGTTCAGGGATATTTGTTGTACGAGTAACCTAATTCGACTGAATATGGGCGCCTGCGCTTCTACGGGTGGCCGCAGTCCAATCACGCCTTCCCCTGCCACCACCAAGCAGCATCGCAAGGCGGATCGCTCACAAATGAAGGCTAGCAAATACGCGAAGCAGAATGCCTCGAATCGCCAATCAGTGTTAGGCCTGCCACCGTCAAATACACGACTCGAGAGCAATTATTTGATAGGTAAGCTGCTGCCTCGACACCATGTTTCAGCGCTTTGCGTCAGCGCCATGCATTGGAACCTTCTGTGTAGTGATTCATTGCGATCAGCTCGTCGCTAACCTGTTCCCTCGTCGTCGTCGTCTTGTGTGGCGCCCAATTTGCAAACCTCCAGGTCGCGAGATCGGCCGCGGATTGTACGGCGTGGTTCGCGTGGTGATGCACAGGAAGTCGCACGAGCGATACGCGTGCAAGACGGTCGACAAGCGTCGCATGTCGCAGGATCAGCTCGCACGACTCCGCACGGAGTTCGACATTCTCAAGCGCGTATCAACCCACCAATCCGTAGCGGCCCTTATCGACCAATACGAGGACTCCACGTGCGTGCATTTCGTCCTGGAGCTCTGCACTGGAGGGACGCTGTACGATATCCTCACGACGGCCTCTATCGCGGATGATGCCTCCGCTGTAGATCACTCTGAGAGCAGCACCAGTCCTGCCGCTGCCACAACCAGCACACGCAGCAGCAGCGGAAGCACCGCCAGCCGCAGCAGTAGCAACGCAAGTGGGAGCGCATCGTCGAAGCGGATGAGCGAGGCGCAGGCGAAGCAGGTGATGCGGCAGCTCGCAGAGGCGGTGGCGCGGCTGCACGCGGAGGGCGTGGTGCACCGCGACCTGAAGCTCGAGAACATCGCTTTCATGGATGCGCGGGACGCCAGGGAGGGCGCGTCGCACCCTGACGGCAGCACACACCATGGCTCGACCAGCAGCCGCAGCACAAGCACAAGCCGCCATTTCCCCAGCATAGGCAGCGCCAGCAGCTTGGTCTCTGATTTGAGTGGCAGTGAGGCCGACAGCGACTGCACGGGTTCCCTGGCGTCCTCCTCTGCGCCCTGCTCCCCCGCCTTCTCCGCGCCCTGCCCTCCCCTCAAGCTCCTAGACTTTGGTCTGTCCACGTGGCACAAGTCAGCAGACGGGCAGCGGCTGACGGAAATTGCGGGGACGGCGTATTATGTGGCGCCAGAGGTGCTGAGGAAGCAGTACGGCAGCGAGTGTGACGTGTGGAGCATGGGGGTCATTCTTTACATGATGCTCACAGGATCGCCACCCTTCTGGGATGGTGAGTTTCCATCAAGATTTCTGCCCTCATGGAGTCATGGACTTTATTTCCCTGTGTGTGTCATATCACTCAGTTTTCACTGCTATTTTACTCATAAGAAAGTGTCTCCCTCTCATTCCCTATGTTTGCAGTTTCGGAAGAGGCAATCTGCTCTGCCGTGTTGGCAGGCCACTATGACATGGTCAGTGTGCCATGGTTGTCCATCTCACCTGCTGCCAAGGACCTCGTCAGGCGCATGCTGCAGACTGACCCAGCCAAGCGAATCACGGCACTTGAAATTCTAGGTAAGGGTTCTCCTCCCGGTGGGGACATGATTTTGCTGACAGGAGAAGGTATTAACCATTCTGGTGGCACTATCGCTAATGACCACCTTTGTTTGCATGTGCAGAGCATGAGTGGATCTCCTTCTAGAGCTCCTGCAATTTCTTGGTGTAGAATGTATTGGAGGTTTACAGCGTGTACAGGGTAGCTTGGGGCAAAGTCTCCTTAGAAGAACGTTTAGGGTAATTATTCATTCATTTGTCACTTGTACAGTCACCATGGAGTGGGGATTGCTAGTGTTAGTGTTGGCTGGCGCCATGGTATTGTGCAAGAACATGCGTGTAAACATGGAATTTCATATGAAATCTTTCACAATCTACCCCAAGTACGTACCGTATCTCACAAAATAGAGCATAACTGGGGTTTGGAACTATTTATCTCGATGATTACGCACCCTCCATTTCTCGGATCTTCCATACATTCGAGCTTTTCCTTCTCCGCCCACTCCATCACCCTTGGCTTTATTTTGGCCGCTCCTCCTCTCGAATGTACGCCACGCCCAGTTATGACCGTTATTCTCTCTCCGTCCCTTGCTCTCGCTGCGGCAACGCGTCGTGCGACCTGCTCCAGCGCCTCTTCGACCAACAGGCCGTGCACGTCTACCGTGTCATGGCCTCGTCCCTCATTGTTACCTTCGAATATTAGCTTACTCGCTTCCCGATGCGTTTTGTCAGCGAGTTCTTTCCACCGCTTCCGTTCCTCGCTCAGCTCCTTTGCGCGAGCGCCTTCTCGCCGCTGGTAAGCGGCTTGCGATTCCGCGGCTAGGTCCCTTGCGCGCTGCGCGTGGGCCCACGCCTCTTCTCTTAGCCGGTTTCCGCGGTCTAATACTGACTCAGGAGGCTGTGTAGAGAATAGGTTACCCATTTACACAGCGAAATATTATATTACAGAAATTGAACTAGCCGGAATAGGAAATTCTCAGGTTCATCAGTGCCACAAATCACGACGCAGCGAGATCGCGAGAATGCTTGCGCTAAGGCCGCTGCCACAAGGAAACTATGTAGGCACAATAAAATCGTGAGAAAGCTTGTGCAAGGCTGCGGCCACGGAACATCGTTACTCACCCATCCGAACAGCTGGAACACTCTTTCCCCCTCGAAGCAGCCGTTCTGAAGTTGATGGTGTAGCAAGCGAAGTAGAGTCAGTGGCCACCCTGTGCTATTATTGGTGGCGACGGCAGCGTGTCGAACGCACGAGCAAGAAAGTACCTATCTCGCGATTACCGTGTTATCGTCATTACTTCTTCGTAGCTTGTGATCGGTTATTGGCGAAACTCACTGGTCGTCACATGAAGCGACAGGTAACCATTCTCCATCGAAGTCCGTGATTTGCCGAGATTCCACCATCTTCAAAATCGCGGGTGTGAGAATTTGAAAACCCGGGAACATCCCTCGGAAACAGCGGATTTTGCTCACGGTCGTCGCACTCAAAGCCTTCATTGGATGGACAGCTCAAAAGCGGACAAAACCAGGCCGCGTTGTTCCGTCAACCTGAGCTTTTTGAAGGCTTGTCAAGCCAACACCCTGAGAACAGCGAAACGACACCTGCACCGTGCCTAACCGCAAATCTTGAAGACCGCACCTTTTCCTCCGCCGAGCTTCATATAGTGGCTCGATAACAAAGCGGCGGGTCTACTCCGGGAACACCACTAGACCGAACGTACACCCATCTCGAAGTTGCCCTGGTGCCTTCCGTCAATGGCTAGACTGCCGAACCAGAACCAAGGGCACACGACGAACCCGACGGGACGGGCCTTGATTGTGGTTTTCTTGAGATGATCGTCCAGGTCAGGCACGACGAAGCTCTCTGCGGCGCGGTGACCTGCGGCTCGTGGTCGCCGAATTTGCTTGAAAGGTGACACACGCACCTCCACCACCCAGCTTTCATTCCATCCTCCCCCACACTTTCCTCGCCTCCCCGCTGTAAAGCCCAACCATTGTCCCACCCAACCCACCACCAGCACTGGGTACTTTTCAGCTCAGTTCACAAGCTGCTTCTTCCATCTCCATGGACCGCAAGATGCGTCCCGACAAGGAGCATTATCAGTAGCTCTTCAGCGACTGACTTTCAGTCTAATGAATTCTATTGATGTTTCCACCAGCCACTGCAAGCCTTTCTGAACTTTCGCGAATGAGGCAGGTCTACAGCTCACAAATCTCCACTCCACCGTTTCACTGACCGCCTCATGGGTTACCTAAAGTCCATTCTTAGCTCAGAGACAGACACAAAGATGGAAACCGCTGACATCGGTAGTGGAAGAGCTAGCTGGTCTCGAGGGCCGTTGCTCGGTAGAGGCTCGTTCGGACGAGTGAACATCGGATTCGACAGCGCCAGCGGACAGCTAATAGCAGTCAAATCTGTTCGTGTTACCAACGAAAACTCTCACGAGCTCCACGCGTTGGAGAATGAATACGAGATTCTGCAGCGGCTTGATTCTCCCAATGTCATCAAATGCTTTGGAGCTGATTGGTCCATGGAGGACGGTGTTCCCACAAGAAACCTCCTCTTAGCGCTGGCATCCGGAGGCAATCTCGCAGAGCTGGCTTCGTCGACGGACTCCGGAATCGGCTTATGCGAAGCTGATGTTGCTCGTCACGTCAGGGGTGTCGTCGAGGGTTTGTGCCACATCCACCAGGAAGGCGTGGTTCACTGCGACCTGAAAGCTTGCAACGTCGTTCTGGGTGACTCATGCGTGGTCCTAGTCGACTTCGGCCTCTCTCTACAAATACGAGAACCAACTTATCGTCGGGAAGCTGATAGCAATCATGAGATGAATCGGAAAGAAAAGCTCCGAGGGACGCCGTGCTGGATGGCTCCTGAAGTCGTGGTAGGAGGAGAGATTGGCCCGGCGTGTGATGTGTGGTCGCTCGGATGCACGGTGATAGAGCTACTCACTGGGAAGCCGCCATGGTCGTCTCAATGCGCCGACCCAATGTCCGTGCTGTACAAGCTTGGTTGCACCAGCGAGCTCCCCGAGATTCCGGAAGATGTGTCTCCATTTTGTTACAATTTCATTAGTAAATGCCTCTGCCGGGACCCGCAACGGAGACCGACAGCAGCTGAGCTACTTACGCATCCTTTTCTTTGTCTTCAGGATGAATTCCGTGAATCGTACAGGTCCCAATCTCAGCTCGCGTCATTTCCACCGGTCACAGAAGCCACCAGCGAAGGCCGTCTACACGTGGTCATGCCATCGTCACCCATGGCGGTTGATCCTGACGAAGACTTGAATCTGAACCTCACGTGCTGCAAAATGGTGGACGACCTGTGCGCTCTTTTCCCGCCAACTCCCTCTCCCCGGCTCGTCTCTCCCCTCCACGTGGTTGCACAGGAGTGGGGTTCTCACAGTCAGCCATCACATCGTCAGACGCCGACCATCACAGCGCATACACCTTTTGTCTCCAAGGATGAGAGGGTACGGAGCAATTGTCGTCCCAGAAAGCCATTCATCAGCGTTCCTGCAGAGGACGGTTCCTCGCTGGACAGACATACCAGCTCGGTTGGAGTTCAGGGCAATGCGTGGGGTGCTCCTTCTCCTGCTTCGGAACATGGCAGCGTCCAACCAGAATTATCCCCACCGGCGTTGGATCCGATTTCACCTGATGTACAGGAAGCATGCACATGGCAAGCTTGGGATGGGGAACGGCTGCACAAGTTTCTTGACTGCTGATTGTCATCATGCTGATGACTAGCTTCATGCATCATTCATGTCCATTCACAGTGGACACCACTATACTCATACTAATGCGCCATACTACCAGTATCATTTGCAAGTGTATGTGAATCATTTGAGACATAGTGAATTGACTCCTACAGTGTTGTGCAAATAGATGAATAATAAGCAGGTCAGCCAGAATAACAGCTCCCCATCCTTTAATCATTTGCATCAGAATGTGCCTGACTGTCTAGGGTCCATCTCTAAAATGATCACCCACAGGATCTCCACATCACCTCAACTCCATCCCATCCCACTCCATGCCGCTCTCTACCCTCATTGTATCTTGCTGTAAGGAAAATTCCTTTTCCTTACTTCGCACCCCTGCTCAACGCGTACATCACTGTAGCACCACAGTCAGCACCGTTACCACTCGCGATCCTCGCATCAACAATCAGCCCGCCACTTTCGCACATCGCACCCCAACCTCACGGCTCGGCTGGTAACCCGCGCTCCGGGCCTCCGCTTCGACACTTTCCCCAACCTCGGTCCCAGGCCCGTCGCGCGACAACCACAGTCCATTACCGTTACCACTGTAGTTTCGCTATATATTCTTCGCTCATGCCTTCGCTCATTGTATTCTTGCTTCGATAGTGCAATTCTCGTTCGCTCACTCAATTGCACTCGTAACACTTGGTATTCAGAGCCTACGATCTCACCTCGGACCGCATCCACACCTTCGCTTCCACACTATCTCAATTTTTTGGGGGGGGGTAGACGTCTCTCAGCGATACAGCACCGCCGCTCGTAGTGCTCTCTCGTAAGCACGCACGGCCACGACCGAGGCTCTCGCTGAGCTTGCCCGACACCCCCGCCATGGCCGATTTCACGCTCGCCACATTAACGCAGGAGCAACTTGATCGTCTCGTGCGTCAGCTGGAAGATTCGGCGCTCGAAATCGCGACGCTCACGGCGGAACGTGACTCCGTCCGTCAACAGTCCACGGTGAACATTCCGGCGACATCACACGCACCAACAAATGCATCTGCACAATCAGACGAGCCGATCATCATCTCGTCCAGCACACCAACACAACACGACAGCATGGGACAACGCTCAGGCGCAGCCAGTGACGGCGCCGCCCAGCCGATGCCTGGCATGGGAGGAGGCAGGATCGCACCAAGCCCGCGGGAGCCTCGGGAAGCCCGTCGGCACGTGGAATTTGCGGCGACAAGTGGCGAACAGGCCATCATGGCACCAATGCCGCTCAAGCCGCAACGCCCGCCCTGCTTCGACCCAAGCCAACGCGGAGGTCCGACGGTTCAATCGTGGGTCTTCACGATGAACGTCTTCCTCGACACAAACTACGTCGAGTCGGACGCCGCGAAGATCCGGTATGCAGTTTCGCTGCTACGCCATGAACTGGTGGCGAGTC